TAAAATTGTGATATACTAAGTTAAATAATTATCATAAATGTTATTTCATTGTAAGATAACTAAATACTCAAGTACGCCAAGCTGAATAAAAAAATACCCGAGAATTTTCTCTCAGTGTCTTTCAAAAAATGTTTTGTCATCACTATATAATGTGCTAAATTTATGAAAAAGCTAGGCAACTTAATATTTTCTTGATTTCGTAAATCCTAGATGTTTTTATCATATATGACAATATTACATATATATAATTACCAAGCTATATATCAATAATGTGTGTAGATAAAGAACTGTGTTTATAACCATATTCATTTATAAGTTACATTAATATAAACTGCTCCATATATAAATTGAATTTAGAATGCTATTTATATACAGCTTACTCCAGGGATCAATACTGCCGGAGTTTGTGTCAGCAGTATGGAGTCTCCAGGTGCTTTAATATATTCATACAGACAGTTTGTACTGCTGTGATAAATTGTATTACTTTGAATATGTAAGCTCCATGTCAATGTAAATTAGTTCAACACTAAATAGTAACAATGGTAACCTGTTTAGGTAATACTATGATTAATAGGAATATTCTAAGATCATTCACTTTCTAGGAGGATTTATCTTCACTAATTTAATGGCTACTCTAAATCCACAAGTTCATTTGTCAACTTACTATTATTACACAAGCTATATTTATCCAGGAAAGTCCACTAAAAAGTAACTTTTGAAAAACTATGCAAATTGAGGACCACAAAATATATAATTTTACAGTATATATATAGAGAGAGAGAGAAGTCTGTGTAATTAAAATATTTACCTGTGTTAACAAATACATTGTATCAACGACTATGTTGTATCATCATGATAAAATGACTGAATTGTAATATTTTCATTGCCTTTGTTTTTTTATGAATAATTACTGTAATAAAAAAATGGCAGAATTCCAGTCATCTCTATTCTTTTGTTTCCCAGATGTAGCCTGTCAACAGAAAAACTGGTCTGTATTAGAGGATTCTGGTGACATGCTGGTATTTTCTTTGTTGCTTTATACAACCCTTCAGAAACATTAGGTAGTTCAATCAAAGACACATAGGTTGTTACCATGGCAACTCTGAACTATAATAACAAGAGGCAGGTCTTGAGGCATTTAGTAGCTGTTGACTACCAACTGGCAGTTCTTAGTAACATTAAATGAATGACAGATCCTTTGAAAAATTAGTAGTCTGAACCCTAGAGATTAGCAGACCTAGGGAAAGATTATATATAATCTGGGCCCTAGAAATTAGCTGATCCAGGAAAAGTTTATATATAATCTGGACCCTGGAAATTGGCAGACCAAGGAAAAGTTTATATATAATCTGGGCCCTAGAGATTAGCAGACCTAGGGAAAGATTATGTAAAAACCTGGCCCTAGAGATTAGCAGACCTAGGGAAAGATTATGTAAAAACCTGGCCCTAGAGATTAGCAGACCTAGGGAAAGATTACATATAATCTGGACCCTGGAGATTAGCAGACCTGGGGAAGACTACGAACAGTCTGGACCCTCATGGTTGGCAGGTCCTGAGAAAGACTATTATTATCATCATCATTATATCTAATATTTCCTGTTTTACCCAGTTTCAAGATAACACAGCAGAATAAGAACAGAAACCTATGATGTCTTACTAATTCTTTTTAATTTTAGTTTGTTCAATAGAGCATATGTAGAAACACAAAGTATACTAAATATAGAACAGACATCTAGTATAGCAGTAGTAACAAGTGTTAATACAGAATACCCTACTTAAACAGGTCCCTCACATATGGACATACTTCTTACATATATTTTTTTTCAGATCTCTTAGCCCAAAGAATACCTATACTTAGATATGATGTATGCATCCCATTACCTAATAAGGTGTGTTTCAGCTCTGTTTCTCCTTTAAGATTACAAAACTTTGTCTTCCAAATACAGATATGCCCATCATTTTCACATTTAATCTCAAAGTATGTTTTACTTATATTGTGAAAAGTCAATATTGGTACAAACATATCTATAACAAACAGCAGAGTAACCAGAGAAATTAACAGAAAACCTCTGCTTGTAGATACCAACCTCCGTATTCTCTATTGATCTGTGCATGTTAAAAGTCCCTTCCCATGATGCTCCAGACAAACATCAGTCTTTTGTCATCCCCTAGATTTTGACCATATATGGTCAATCCATATACAGAAGAAATAGGTATCTCAAAGACTGGTTTTCATATCACCTACTTGGTCTCTTCTGACCCTAAAGGTTAACAGGCATCACCCTGTAGACAGCACTGGGTCTCTGTTGCTCTGGATATCAAATTAAATCAGAACACTTATCTAAACCGATGGTAATTGATTTTTCACAATTGACTATTATCTTTTTTAATGATCCCTGCCCCTCTACCATCCATTTTAGTGATTTATAAAAACCTGTTCTGAGCTCTATATGACATGTTGTAGGATACACATAAAGTTAAAAGAAAATCTGTGTTGAGATGTTTCTATATATAGAGCAGAACATCCACAATAAGGTTTCATGTTGATATCATCGCCATATCATTTATCTGAGTCATGTTCCTGACAAACAGAAGAACTGTTTCTTGAGAATATTTCCTGCTGTAATTACATTAGAAAATGTCTGCAAGACATGAATGCCTCACCACGCAGGCCTTGACCTTAGTGTTTAAATTGAATCAGTTGATGATTTTCTATATATAGCAAGGGTCATGTTGGCTTTGACCCTGAAACACAATGATATCCAGAGTATGCTCATAATTTACCTATGCATAATGGTTGATCAAAATCTGCCTTACAATGAAGTTCCTAGGTGTTTACATTGAATCAAAACCGGCGTTGATCAACGGGACACGATGGAATGAATATGGGCAATGAGCCCCTATTTTATAACAGAGGTGTAAAAAGCCAGGTCTGATATTGATACTAGTACTGCAGGTCTAACCTACACAAAGTAACACAGAATCAGCACTGACTGTGACTTATGTCATGACATTCATACTGATTACATCCCAACCCATCCATACATTCAAATGTGTACAGCTACAATCAATCATCTTCACCTCGACCTCCTCACCAGTCAATTCATCACGAAAAACATCTACAGTTTTTTGTCTATCAATCATCTTCATCTCGACCTCCTCACCAGTCAATTCATCACGAAAAACATCTACAGTTTTTTGTCTATCAATCATCTTCATCTCGACGCCGCACATTCCTCGCTCCTGAGGCAATTTTTCTTTTTTTAAAAGCAACAGGTTCCCCTTTGGATCCTCCAAGGGAGGTAACTTTTTTCTCTTTAAATTTGTCTCTCTTTGGTTTTTGTGGCTGGTCTGGCGGCTGATCTGAGTTTTGTTCTGGATGTGCTTCACATTCTCCCGGGAGGGGTATGCAGTCCACAGGGACAGGTTCCAGGGGAATAGGTTCAGTTTCAAACTCCGTCCTGGCCATACATGATAAAAAAATGCACATATATATTCTGGCATATAAAGAGTGAGAAAAAAAATTGTTATCTACATTTCTTACAATTTTAAAGTCTAGGTATGATACGGCAAAAGCTTAAATTAATCTGCTACCAAAATTAATTTGTTGCTTTGATAAAATCAAAAGCATTCTTCAAAATACTTTTGTATAAACTAAAGTACGAAAAAAAATAGTTACATATATCTAAATCTAAATTGTTTGACATGTCCATAAAAAGTTTTGCACTCCACGAAAATTTAATGTTTTTTTTTTTTCTAAAACATGTAGTCTGGCTTAAAGATACCTACATTTTAAATGATTTGGTATAAAACTTCATAAAAAAATACAAATACTATAGGAATAACAGTTCTATACAACTTTATAGTAGGAAGGGTTAACACGAGAGCTCTGTAGAAATTTGATGATTATTAATCTAGGCAAACTTTACAGCCAGGATTGCAACAGTAACAGTTTAAATAGGATATTTTGTGGACTGTACAGCTAGAGGGTGCCAACATGCACCAAAGCCTTTACTTACGTATCAGAGGTTGTCACCCAAGATCCATAAACATGTTTGACAGGCTGGTGGGGCTGAGGTCCAAAACTCATTCCTAGTAATGTCTCTGTGTCAACATTAGAAGCTGAGGTATACACTTGTTCTGAAGAACTCTCCTCAGGAACCTACAAGGATAGAAACATCATGTCACCAGTATATACAGGTAAACACACAGACAAAATAACAGTAGTATACACTGGTTCTACAGGTCTCTGGAACCTACAAGGATAGAAACATCATGTCACCAGTATATACAGGTACACAGACAAAACAACAGTAGTATACACTGGTTCTACAGGTCTCTGGAACCTACAAGGATAGAAACATCATGTCACCAGTATATACAGGTACACAGACAGACAAAACAACAGTAGTATACACTGGTTCTACAGGTCTCTGGAACCTACAAGGATAGAAACGTCATGTCACCAGTATATACAGGTACACAGACAGACAAAACAACAGTAGTATACACTGGTTCTACAGGTCTCTGGAACCTACAAGGATAGAAACATCATGTCACCAGTATATACAGGTACACAGACAAAACAACAGTAGTATACACTGGTTCTACACGTCTCTGGAACCTACAAGGTCTAAACAACAGTAGTTTACATTGGTTCTACAGGTGTCTGGAGCCTAGAGTGACAAAACAACAGTAGATATAGCATAAATAATCTGAAACAATATCATTACCATCTGTTTTTGGTTTTCTTCTTGTGCCTTTTTCTCCTCCTCCTCCTCCTCCTCCCTTTTCCTTTGCTCTTCCATTGAAACAAACTTTTCTGGTGCAACCCAGACAGGCTCTGTAACATCAGTTTTGACATCCATAGACAAGTATAAAGTAATTCAAAATATTATCTAATAACAAAATAAAACAAGAGACCCCAGAGGGATCTTGGCACCCACCAGTTTGATCTTTATTTGCTCTTTGAAAGTTGGATCTTTTCCCTTTTTTTCTCTTCTCTGTTTTTGCTCTTAATGATACAATGTTTGAACATTCCTTTGCAGAAATTGCAATGATAATCTTCACTTGCCAAATGTGCCAAAAATGGCCGCCTGGAAGCCATTTTGTTTCTTCTGATCAGTCCCAAAATCAAATGGGAACAACGAGAGACTAAAAAGAACATATGTATGAAATTTGAGAGAGATCTATACAGCACTTCTTAAGAAATAGTGATAACAAACTTTCAAAGTCAAAATCTAAGATGGTCGCCTTTCAGCCATTTTGTTTTTCTTATCTGCTCCAAATTAGATTTAAGAGAGATCCATCCGGTACTTTTCAAGAAATAGCGATAACAAACTTCATTGAAAAATCCAAGATGGCCACCTGTTGTCTATTCTGGATCAGTCCCAAAATCAAACAGGAACAACTAAGGACAAATGGAAATCTACATATGTGATTTGAGGAAGATCCATCCAATACTTCTCAAGAAAAAACGATAACAAACTGATGGGTGGATGGACCACACATAGACCACAGACACAAGGCAATTTATATAATCCACCATCTGTGTTTAAGGATAGTGTATGACATGTATATGACATTATATATAGGATGGTGTATGACATGTATATGACAATGTTTGACATGTATATGACATTATATATAGGATTGTGTATGACGTGTATATGACATTATATATAGGATGGTGTATGACATGTGTATGACATTATATATAGAATGGTGTATGACATGTATATGACAATGTTTGACATGTATATGACATTATATATAGGATTGTGTATGACGTGTATATGACATTATATATAGGATGGTGTATGACATGTGTATGACATTATATATAGAATGGTGTATGACATGTATATGACAATGTTTGACATGTATATGACATTATATATAGGATGGTGTATGACATGTATATGACATTATATATAGGTTAGTGTATGACATGTATATGACATTATATATAGGGTGGTGTATGACATGTATATGACAATGTTTGACATGTATATGACATATATAGAATAGAATGGTGTTTGACATGTATATGACATTATATATAGGATGGTGTATGACATGTATATGACATTATATATAGGATGGTGTATGACATGTATATGACATTATATATAGAATGGTGTATGACATGTATATGACAATGTTTGCCATGTATATGACATTATATATAGGATGGTGTATGACATGTATATAACATTATATATAGGATGGTGTATGACATGTATATGACAATGTTTGACATGTATATGACATTATATATAGAATGGTGCATGACTTGTATATGACATTATATATAGGATGGTGTATGACATGTATATGACAATGTTTGACATGTATATGACATTATTTATAGAATGGTGTTTGGCATGTATATGACATTATATATAGGATGGTGTATGACATGTATATGACATTATATATAGGATGGCATATGATGTGTATATGACATTATATATAGGATGGCATATGACGTGTATATGACATTATATATAGGATGGTGTATGACATGTATATGACATTATATATAGGTTAGTGTATGAATGTATATGACATTATATATAGGATGGTGTATGACGTGTATATGACATTATATATAGGATGGTGTATGACATGTATATGACATTATATATAGGATGGCATATGACGTGTATATGACATTATATATAGGATGGTGTATGACATGTATATGACATTATATATAGGTTAGTGTATGACATGTATATGACATTATATATAGAATGGTATTTGACATGTATATGACATTATATATAGTTTAACATGTATATGACATTATATATAGAATGGTGTTTGACATGTATATGACATTATATATAGGATGGTGTATGACATGTATATGAAAATGTTTGACATGTATATGACATTATATATAGAATGGTGTATGACATGTATATGACAATGTTTGACATGTATATGACATTATATATAGAATGGTGTATGACATGTATATGACAATGTTTGACGTGTATATGACATTATATATAGGATGGTGTATGACGTGTATATGACATTATATATAGGATGGTGTATGACGCGTATATGACAATGTTTGACATGTATATGTATATGACATTATATATAGGATGGTGTTTGACATTATATATAGAATGGTGTATGATATGTATACAATGTTTGACATGTGTATGTATGTATATGACATTATATATAGAATGGTGTTTGACATGTATATGACAATGTTTGACATGTATATGACATTATATATAGAATGGTGTTTGACAGGTATATGGCATTATATATAGAATAGTGTATGACATGTATATGACAATGTTTGCCATGTATATGACATTATATATAGGATGGTGTATGACATGTATATGACATTATATATAGGTTAGTGTATGACATGTATATGACATTATATATAGGATGGTGTATGACATGTATATGACAATGTTTGACATGTATATGACATTATATATAGAATAGAATGGTGTTTGACATGTATATGACATTATATATGGGATGGTGTATGACATGTATATGATATTATATATAGAATGGTGTATGACATGTATATGACAATGTTTGCCATGTATATGACATTATATATAGGATGGTGTATGACATGTATATAACATTATATATAGGATGGTGCATGACATGTATATGACAATGTTTGACATGTATATGACATTATATATAGAATGGTGCATGACATGTATATGACATTATATATAGAATGGTGTTTGACATGTATATGACAATGTTTGACATGTATATGACATTATATATAGAATGGTGTATGACGTGTATTATATTACCCTTTGTGATGGTATGCCAGTAATAAGAGTATCCCTCTGGAGATTTTGCCTCTAACCATTCACCAGCCTCTTCTGTGGTAGTTTTTTCTTCCTCAGAGTTTTTCTCTTCCTCAAGCTTTTCGTTTAAAAGGTCTTCTTTCTCTGAAATGATATCAATCAGACGACCTTAACTCAACCCTCACTGACGTACTGAAAGGGTAAATAGTTCTTTACTGATGTCCTGACAGAGTTACCAGTGCATTTATGAAGTCATGACTGAGTTACATGACCTTTATTGATGTCAAGAAAGAATTATTTACCCTTTACCAGTGTCATAATAGAGTTTCATGATCTGTCGCACAATTTGCCCTTCACTTACATCATAACAGAGTTTCTTGTCCCTAACTGATGTCACCACAAACTTAATAACCCTTTTCTGATGACAGGTGAAAGAGTTACCTGCCCTTTACTGATGTCAGTAAAGTATCTTACACTCTACTGTATACAGAGTTACCTACCCTTAGCTGCTTTGATCTTAGCACTGTACTGAGCTGCAAGTTCTGGGTTCTCTGCAAGGTCTTTCTTAAATGCTTCCAGTGCAGCCTACGACATCAAAGTTCAAAGGAAGTCAATGTGAAGGTGCTTTTTATAGATGTGAGTAAGCTCAAGCAGTCCAACCCTAGTAAGGTTAGACATACATAAGTCGATCAACAACCAGTCTAACCCTAGTAAGGTTAGACATACATAAGTCGATCAACAACCAGTCTAACCCTAGTAAGGTTAGACATACATAAGTCGATCAACAACCAGTCTAACCCTAGTAAGGTTAGACATACATAAGTCGATCAACAACCAGTCTAACCCTAGTAAGGTTAGACATACATAAGTCGATCAACAACCAGACTAACCCTAGTAAGGTTAGACATACATAAGTCGATCAACAACCAGTCTAACCCTAGTAAGGTTAGACATACATAAGTCGATCAACAACCAGTCTAACCCTAGTAAGGTTAGACATACATAAGTCGATCAACAACCAGTCTAACCCTAGTAAGGTTAGACATACATAAGTCGATCAACAACCAGTCTAACCCTAGTAAGGTTAGACATACATAAGTCGATCAACAACCAGACTAACCCTAGTAAGGTTAGACATACATAAGTCGATCAACAACCAGTCTAACCCTAGTAAGGTTAGACATACATAAGTCGATCAACAACCAGTCTAACCCTAGTAAGGTTAGACATACATAAGTCGATCAACAACCAGTCTAACCCTAGTAAGGTTAGACATACATAAGTCGATCATCAACCAGTCTAACCCTAGTAAGGTTAGACATACATAAGTCGATCAACACTAATTCAATATGAGAACAACTTCAGTATTTAGATTTATTATTTATTATTATTAAATTATCAAACTGATTCAAAAACTTTACACAAATATGATTTTGTTTAAAGTCGAATGCAGCAAATACTGGAACAAGACTAATTTATTATGTTAGCTCAGATTCTGTGACACTGTTTACTAAAGATTCTGTGATACTGTTTACTTAAGATTCTGTGATACTGTTTACTTAAGATTCTGTGATACTGATTACTTAAGATTCTGTGACACTGTTTACTAAAGATTCTGTGATACTGTTTACTTAAGATTCTGTGATACATAAGATTCTGTGATACTGTTTACTTAAGATTCTGTGATACTGTTTACTTAAGATCATGTGATACTGTTTACTTAAGATTCTGTGATACATAAGATTCTGTGATACTGTTTACTTAAGATTCTGTGATACTGTTTACTTAAGATTCTGTGATACTGTTTACTTAAGATTATGTGATACTTAAGATTCCGTGATACTGTTTACTTGAGATTCTGTGATACTTAAGATTCTGTGATACTGTTTACTTAAGATTCTGTGATTCTGTGATACTGTTTACTTAAGATTCTGTGATACTGTTTACTTAAGATTCTGTTTACTTAAGATTCTGTGATTCTGTGATACGGTTTACTGAAGATTCTGTGATAGTTTTTACTTAAGATTCTGTTTTACTTAAGATCATGTGATACTGTTTACTTAAGATTCTGTGATACATAAGATTCTGTGATACTGTTTACTTAAGATTCTGTGATACTTAAGATTCTGTGATACTGTTTACTTAAGATTCTGTGATACATAAGATTCTGTGATACTGTTTACTTAAGATTCTGTGATACTTAAGATTCTGTGATACTGTTTACTTAAGATTCTGTGATACATGAGGTTCTGTGATACTGATTACTTAAGATTCTGTGATACTGTTTACTTAAGATTCTGTGATACTTAAGATTATGATGATACATAAGATTCTGTGATACTGTTTAAGATTCTGTGTAAGATTCTGTGATACTTAAGATTCTGTGTTTACTTAAGATTCTGTTGTGATACTTAAGATTCTGTGATACTGTTTACTTAAGATTCTGTGATACTGTTTACTTAAGATTCTGTGATACTTAAGATTCTGTGATACTTAAGATTCTGTGACTGTTTACTTAAGATTCTGTGATATTCTGTACTGTTTACTTAAGATTCTGTGATACTGTTTACTTGAGGTTCTGTGATACTGATTACTTAAGATTCTGTGATACTGATACTGTTTACTTGATTCTGTGATAGTTTTTACTTAAGATTCTGTGATACTGTTTACTTAAGATTCTGTGAAACATAAGATTCTGTGATACTGTTTACTTAAGATTCTGTGATAGTTTTTACTTAAGATTCTGTGATACTGTTTACTTAAGATTCTGTGATACTGTTTACTTAAGATTCTGTGATACTGATTACTTAAGATTCTGTGATACTTAAGATTCCGTGATACTGTTTACTTAAGATTCTGTGATACTGTTTATAAGATTCTGTGATACTGTTTATAAGATTCTGTGATTACTGATTCTGTGATACTGTTTACTTAAGATTCTGTGATACTGTTTACTTAAGATTCTGTGATACATGAGATTCTGTGATACTGTTTACTTAAGATTATGTGATACTTAAGATTCTGTGATACTTAAGATTCTGTGATACATAAGATTCTGTGATACTTAAGATTCTGTGATACATAAGATTCTGTGATACTGTTTACTTAAGATTCTGTGATACTGTTTACTTAAGATTCTGTGATACTTAAGATTCTGTGATACTGTTTACTTAAGATTCTGTGATACTGTTTACTTAAGATTCTGTGATACTGTTTACTTAAGATTCTGTGATACTGTTTACTTAAGATTCTGTGATACTGTTTACTTAAGATTCTGTGATACTGTTTACTTAAGATTCTGTGATACATAAGATTCTGTGATACTGTTTACTTAAGATTCTGTGATACATAAGATTCTGTGATACTGTTTACTTAAGATTCTGTGATACTGTTTACTTAAGATTCTGTGATACTGTTTACTTAAGATTCTGTGATACATAAGATTCTGTGATACTGTTTACTTAAGATTCTGTGATACTGTTTACTTAAGATTCTGTGATACTTAAGATTCTGTGATACTTAAGATCATGTGATACTGTTTACTTAAGATTCTGTGATACTGTTTACTTGAGGTTCTGTGATACTGATTACTTAAGATTCTGTGATACGGTTTACTGAAGATTCTGTGATAGTTTTTACTTAAGATTCTGTGATACTGTTTACTTAAGATTCTGTGAAACATAAGATTCTGTGATACTGATACTTTTTAAGATTCTTAAGATTCTGTGATACTGTTTACTTAAGATTCTGTGATACTTAAGATTCTGTGATACTGTTTACTTAAGATTCTGTGATACTGTTTACTTAAGATTCTGTGATACTGTTTACTTAAGATTCTGTGATTACTGTTACTTAAGATTCTGTGATATAAGATTCTGTGATACTGTTTACTTAAGATTCTGTGATAAGATTCTGTGATACTTAAGATTCTGTGATACTTAAGATTCTGTGATACTGTTTACTTAAGATTCTGTGATACTGTTTAAGACTGTAAGATTCTGTGATACTGTTTAAGACTGTGATACTGTTTACTTAAGATTCTGTGATACTGTTGATACTTAAGATTCTGTGATACTGTTTACTTAAGATTCTGTGATACACGAGATTCTGTGATACATAAGATTCTGTGATACTGTTTACTTAAGATTCTGTGATACTTAAGATTCTGTGATACTGTTTACTTAAGATTCTGTGATACTTAAGATTCTCTGTGATACTGTTTACTTAAGATTCTGTGATACTGTTTACTTAAGATTCTGTGATACATAAGATTCTGTGATACTGTTTACTTAAGATTCTGTGATACTGTTTACTTAAGATTCTGTGATACATAAGATTCTGTGATACTGTTTACTTAAGATTCTGTGATACTGTTTACTTAAGATTCTGTGATACTGTTTACTTAAGATTCTGTGATACTGTTTACTTAAGATTCTGTGATACTGTTTACTTAAGATTCTGTGACTGTTTACTTAAGATTCTGTGATACTTAAGATTCTGTTTACTTAAGATTCTGATACTGTTTACTTAAGATTCTGTGATACTTAAGATTCTAAGATTCTGTGATACTGTTTACTTAAGATTCTGTGTGATACTGTTTACTTAAGATTCTGTGATACTGTTTACTTAAGATTCTGTGATACTGTTTACTTAAGATTCTGTGATACTGTTTACTTAAGATTCTGTGTAAGATTCTGTGATACTGTTTACTTACTGTGACTGTTTACTTAAGATTCTGTGATACTAAGATTCTGTGATACTTAAGATTCTGTGATACTGTGTGATACTTAAGATTCTGTGATACTGTTTACTTAAGATTATGTGATACTTAAGATTCTGTGATACTGTTTACTTAAGATTATGTGATACTTAAGATTCCGTGATACTGTTTACTTGAGATTCTGTGATACTTAAGATTCTGTGATACTGTTTACTTGAGATTCTGTGATACTGTTTACTTAAGATTCTGTGATACTGTTTACTTAAGATTCTGTGATACTTAAGATTCTGTGATACTGTTTACTTAAGATTCTGTGATACTTAAGATTCTCTGTGATACTGTTTACTTAAGATTCTGTGATACTTAAGATTCTGTGATACATAAGATTCTGTGATACTGTTTACTTAAGATTCTGTGATACTGTTTACTTAAGATTCTGTGATACTTAAGATTCTGTGATACTGTTTACTTGAGATTCTGTGATACTTATGTTTTTGGCATTTATTTTTATCTATATGACTGGGAAAAGTTACCAGTTGGCCAATTCCCAATTCAGCCAAAAAAGGGCAAAACATTTCACTGATACATCAACATCAGGCACACAGATAGTACCTGCTCCATTTTCCTGAAGTCTTCTTCTGCCTCTTCTTTTTTCTCAGCATCTTTGCTACTTTTCTTCCTCACCTACAAAAACATGCAGTAGTGTATGTTAAACATTGCCCTGACTTATCTGTTTATATATATATTATTGATGTATGTGTATGAATGACTGAGTATGAAGTGAGTATTAATGATGTAATATCACTATATTATTCTACAAACAAAATGATGTATGGTATTAGTAAAACATGAGTAAAATGAGAAAAAAATGTGACTGAACGAGTAAAAGAAAAGTAAGAGGCTTCCTATGTGAACTAGCATGTTGTAAGGGTAGATAATCCAGAACTTCAAACCCTGACATTTACCTTCCACATACCCCTATGCTGGAACAATAAAACAATAGTAAAACAATCTTTACAGAAAACATTCTGTCATGTCAGTTATAATCTGTACCATTCTAAAGTGATGGATTTGTAGTTATACATATCAATACAAAATTACAATAAGATGTATTTTCTGTGATGACCTTGTGAGTGTGAGCCAAAAAGAGAAATTAGATAGTAAAGATATCAGTAACTGTATATAGACTGCATATAAGTGTTAAAGGATCCGCAATATCCATTGTAACTGTGTTTAACTTACAAACTACTAGTCATTTAAGTTTTGTGTTGTGACTTAAGACCGGTGTCATGGAGTGCTGACCTCAGCCTAGTAATTCTATAACCTTGTTCCTGACCCAGTAACCTTATGAATGATTGAAAATCTTTTTTATGTTGCTAGTGAGTGGTGACCAAGTAAATGAGGTGTGCTGTTTTTAATGCATGACAACCCCCTAACTGATACTTACCTCATCAATCTTCCTCTTCACATTTTCCTGATGTTTTTTCCCTTTTTCATGAAAGTCGACACTCTAAATAATGTGAAGAAAAACAGTGTCCACATATTTAATTTCAAATAATGAACACTTATAAAGACATGTGCTACTATTTCAGTATCTATAGATACACACAGGTTTTATAATTAATACTGTTTCATTACCTATTAATTTACACTGGTTTTATAAAAAAATACTGTTTCATTATCTATAATACATACTGGTTTTATAATTAATACTGTTTCATTATCTATAAATTTAAAGGTTTAATAATTAATACTGTTTCATTATCTATAAATATACACTGGTTTAATAATCAGTACTGTTTCATTATCTATAAATACATACTGGTTTGTTGTCTGTTATCCAGCATTTACAGAAGTCACAAAACTTTTTCGGTTGTGATTTCCAATATGTGGCCCTGAAAAGGTGAAAAAATCAATTGAAATGTAAAATAATAGAAGGAAGGTGGCTGATTTATACTGACGTTAACAAAGCCGCTAACTTTATTGGACATTGAGAAAATGTACAACCTCCCAGTTATTCATAGGCAATTATATATAAAAATACTGATTAGTTTCATGATATTTTCATATTTAATTGCCACCTTCAGAAATTTCATCAGCCCTACCTACTTCCAGTCCACAGTAAATGTGTGTATAGTCCCTGAAATAAACTAAATTCAATGTTATTCAAGTATTTTGTATCTCAATATAATGTCATCTTATTCTGTTTCGACATCTTAAAACCCTTCTAATGTAATAAAACCATGTCACTGAATCTTGACTGGATTAGGGATTTGAAATAGAGAAATCTTACTTTTAATATCTGATTTAATCTTTTCTCACCATTTCCATCTTTACAGTATCTATTCACAGACAAAAAAATGCATTGATGCTTGGAATTCTCTTACTGTTAACTATCAATTACACAGACCACAAATGACTGGGGCTAACACAACTGTAAAATCGTGTGACTGGATGGAATATCTAAAATTCAAGCAAACTTCAGGCTTCAATCTAACTCAAAAAACATCTATTTGGCAAGTACATAATACTGTTTTTTTTCAAATTTGGTTTTGCTATATTTTCCACACTGGACAGAACATGGTAATACATGTGTGTAATTGAACAACCTCTTCATTTTATTAATTTATCTTTTTCGTAAACGTCATTTCACATTTTATTTTTCTATCTGTGAAATGGAAGGAAGAAGAAGACATCAATAATCTTTTCAGTCGAATAAAAAGTAGAAATTTTCATGTTCAGCATGAAAAAGGACACATAATTCATTTATGGCTGATCATTGTTTTATATTCTATTTGTGACATTTGGATACAAATTATTATAATTATTAAAGATTGTATTAAAATTTATGAAAATCAGGTAAATGGTATGTATAACTTAATTGATATTATCATTAATTGATCCTATGTAGTGAAATGAAAAAAATAAATAAATAAATAAAACCAATGTTTTCATGGATATATCGACAGTTTTCTAAAACATGGCAGTTAGTTGAGTGACAGAGACTGTATTCAACACTACATACAAGCCACAGCGACCAGTTCGCAGAGTGACATCGACTGTATTTAACACTATATACAAGCTACACCAACCAGTTAGTTGAGTGACAGCGACCATATTTAACACTATATACAAGCCACACCTACCAGTTAGTTGAGTGACAGAGACCATATTTAACACTATATACAAGCCACACTGACCCATCAGCGGCATGTCCGAGACCATATTTAACACTATATACAAGCCACACCAACCCGCCAGCAGAGTGACATAGACCGTATTTAACACTATATACAAGCCACACCAACCCGCCAGCAGAGTGACAGAGACTGTATTTAACACTATATACAAGCCACACTGACCCGCCAGCAGAGTGACACAGACCGTATTTAACACTATATACAAGCCACACCAAACAGTTCGCAGAGTGACAGGGACCATATTTAACACTATATACAAGCCACACCAACCCAACAGCGGAGTGACAGAGACCGTATTTAACACCATATACAAGCCACACCAAACAGTTCGCAGAGTGACAGGGACCATATTTAACACTATATACAAGCCACACCAACCCAACAGCGGAGTGACAGAGACCGTATTTAACACTATATACAAGCCACACTGACCCAACAGCGGAGTGACAGAGACCGTATTTAACACTATATACAAGCCACACTGACCCATCAGCGGAGTGACAGAGACCGTATTTAACACTATATACAAGCCACACTGACCCATCAGCAGAGTGACAGAGACCGTATTTAACACTATATACAAGCCACACTGACCCGCCAGCAGAGTGACAGAGACTGTATTTAACACTATATACAAGCCACACCAACCCAACAGCGGAGTGACAGAGACCGTATTTAACACTATAAACAAGCCACACTGACCCGCCAGCAGAGTGACAGAGACTGTATTTAACACTATAAACAAGCCACACTGACCCATCAGCGGAGTGACAGAGACCGTATTTAACACCATATACAAGCCACACCAACCAGGTCGCAGAGTGACAGGAACCGTATATAACACTACATACAAGCCACAGCGACCAGTTCGCAGAGTGACATAGACTGCATTTAACACTATATACAAGCCACACTGACCCATCAGCGGAGTGACACAGACCGTATTTAACACCATATACAAGCCACACAAAACAGTTCGCAGATTGACAGGGACCATATATAACGCTATATACAAGCCACACTGACCAGTTCACAGAAAGACAGAGACGACTGTATTTAATACTATATACAAGCCACACTGACCAGTTCGCAGAGTGACAGGGACTGTATTGAACACTATATACAAGCCACACCAACCCAACAGCGGAGTGACACAGACCGTATTTAACACTATAAACAAGCCACACTGACCCATCAGCAGAGTGACAGAGACCGTATTTAACACTATAAACAAGCCACACTGACCCATCAGCGGAGTGACAGGAACCGTATATAACACTATATACAAGCCACACTGACCAGTTCGCAGAGTGACAGAGACTGTATTTAACACTATATACAAGCCACAACGACCCACCAGCAGAGTGACAGGAACCGTATATAACACTATATACAAGCCACACTGACCAGTTCGCAGAGTGACAGAGACTGTATTTAATACTATATATAAGCCACACTGACCCATCAGCGGAGTGACAGAGACTGTATTTAACACTATAAACAAGCCACACTGACCCATCAGCGGAGTGACAGGAACCGTATATAACACTATATACAAGCCACACCGACCCGTCAGCTGAGTGACAGAGACTGTATTTAACACCTTATACAAGCCACACCAACCTGTCAGCGGAGTGACAGAGATTGTATTTAACACTATAAACAAGCCACACTGACCCATCAGCGGAGTGACAGAGATTGTATTTAACACCTTATACAAGCCACACCAACCAGGTCGCAGAGTGACAGGAACCGTATGTAACACTACATGCAAGCCACAGCGACCAGTTCGCAGAGTGACATAGACTGTATTTAACACTATATACAAGCCACACCAACCAGGTCGCAGAGTGACAGGAACCGTATGTAACACTACATGCAAGCCACAGCGACCAGTTCGCAGAGTGACATAGACTGTATTTAACACTATATACAAGCCACACCGACCCATCAGCAGAGTGACAGAGACTGTATTTAACACTATATACAAGCCACACTGACCCATCAGCAGAGTGACAGAGACTGTATTCAACACTATATACAAGCCACACCAACCTGTCAGCGGAGTGACAGAGACTGTATTTAACACTATATACAAGCCACACCGACCCATCAGCGGAGTGACAGAGACCGTATTTAACACTATATACAAGCCACATCCACTCGCTTCAATTACAGTCCCTTCTTTGACTGTTACAGAAAAATCATGCAGTTCTGTACCTGTGCATGTGTTCAACATGCATTATTAAGTTATAGTTTGACCAGTCATGTAAGTTTTCCTTCATGCTGCAGATCAGATTAGAAATACAATTACGTGTATGGTTATCTGTTCTTTTCAATGGTGTAGGTGTAATGATTCACTAACAATCATAGTAACAGGGTTTATGAAAAGACATTTATACCAACTTTTCGCATTCATCGCCAAGAATATATTGAATTTTGTGTGATATTCTGGCCTAGATCTTTCGCAGCGTTTGCTGTAACACCGATACCTACATCTTGATCACTATCTTCTTGTTAACTCCTCTTCAGTGCTACTTCAGGTCAAAGTGAAACGACTCAAACACATGTCGGAAGTTTACAAAGCTACGCATGCCCAGAAAAGTTTAGGATCTCATTTTCGAGATATATTTCGGATCATTCCGTTTTGTATACAAACGGAAATTCACGAACATTACCGAGGCAGAACGACATACCTTTTATGGACTCTAATGTAATCTCGGTGTTGATTGGTCACAACACTACTATCTTCAGATTATGGCTAATTATTGGCCAATGAAAAGCTCTGTAAGATAAGTATTTGAGTGATTTGCGCATGCGGAAACAAGTGCACCTTTGTTGTCCCTGAAAATCCAGGCACCAGTGCTACTTTTGCTGCCTCACTCACACGAAAGTGGCAAATTATACGTTATTTCAGTGTCACTGACTGGATATTTTGTCGTGGTCTCGTTAAAAGAACTTTGAATGGTTGTTCTATGAACCAAAATGGTAAGTATCTGCGCCTGACATGCAGTGCGCGAGCTTGCAGGCGAATGTTTTGGTTGGTGGCAGTAGGTCGTGGCACATGAAACTCTTGTTTATATATTTGACATGTTATAATGTGCTTATTGAAATGGAGCATGATAATAATCTGTATATTAGTTTTCTTCTGAAACACAATTCTGTTATTTCATAACTTTTTGAAACTATGCTCAAAATACAAATACAAATGCATGCAGTTCGGCGTTGGAAGTTGATCACGCGTCTCCGACATAAACATAACCTACTTTATATACATGTATATAACCTATCCGACTGACCTATATTTGAAATGTCTAGACAGCATCGCCCAGTTGCAGGGTGTTTCAGAATAACAAGATTCAGTTTAGGGAAAATGTATACGGAATGAGTCTATTGAAGCAGAATACTGACAGTTTTGTAACGATAAAAACAAATGTTCTGTCATAAAGTACAATATGGCCATATTTGTAGCCTCCATTTGGCCTCATACTACAGTCACTACAGAATGATATCCTCACTTTATTTTTAACAGTCAGTGTTTATTTATGTGTATGAGAGATTTGGTTGCAACAGTATTGAGTGACTGTGCAGTATTCAATGCAATACTTTTGGTTACTTTGCTTTTCATTTTACAATATTCAATTTACACTCTACTTTCATGTTACCAACACATGTATAACAGCTTTGGGTTACAGTTGACATTTTCTTTAAAAATGCTATTACAACCATATTTGTATCATACTTTTGATACTGATTTTCTTTCATTTAGTTATCTTATATTTTTCAGGATCAGACTGATACAGGTGAGAATAGAGCTGCAGGTTTGATGGAAATGCAGAGTGGATGAGATATTTTCAAGAAATCAACTTTTGAATAGATAGTGAAAAAAAATAAGTTGGATAAGTAAAGCTTATTAAATTATCTAAAGATTTTTAACGAAACATCAATGAAGTGGTCTGTGGTATTTGCAATACTTTTGGTTTCATTTAAGATGAAAGTTGTTTGTTGTCTAATAAAACAGATTATTTATTAGGCTGTAATCAACAATTTTTTTTTGTCAGACTGGGGTGGATGGAGTGTACCTGGACAAGCAGATGGCGAGACATTTCATAAACAGGAGGACTCTAACCACAGCCTGGCAGATGCTCACTCAGACTCTGTTTATGACAGCAGCAATATGGGGGTAATGAAAATTAGCTGTACCTGTATTTCCAACTGTATTAAAACATCAATATAGGGGTAATGACAAGTAGCTGTATCTGTATTTCCAACTGTATTAAAACATCAATAGAGGGGAAATGAAAAGTAGCTGTATCTGTATTTCCAACTGTATTAAAACATCAATAGAGGGGAAATGAAAAGTAGCTGTATCTGTATTTCCAACTGTATTAAAACATCAATAGAGGGGAAATGAAAAGTAGCTGTATCTGTATTTCCAACTGTATTAAAACATCAATATAGGGGTAATGAAAAGTAGCTGTATCTGTATTTCCAAATGTACTAAAACATCAATATAGGGGTAATGAAAAGTAGCTGTATCTGTATAAATGACATGGCCAAGTCTGACTTTGATATTAGCTTCAAAGGGTTGATATGTAACATGGTAGTTGACCATGCTTTATAATCAACTTCTGTGTTGTATTCATAGATTATGTTAACATTGGAAGATTTGGTTTGGATCACAGGAAATTTGGCTCCTATTATTTATTATAGAGATTGAACAATATTTGGACAGTAATGAAAGCAACGTAGTTCCCTTCTGTCTGTTAAGTAAAGAGAGGTTCTGGAAAATGAAATATTTCATCTTTTATTTATGTGATACAGAATGTTGTTATGGCTCATTGCACCTGTTTTTTATAGGGAGAGGATGACTATATGAGTAATCTGGGGCTGTATGATGGTTATGATAGCTACAATGAAATGTCAGGAAGCTCTTCAGATGATGAAAATGAGAAACCTGGTTACGGCAATTATAATTTCCAGTCCTCAGGACAGCCTACACCATTTAGGTTCATCAATGGCAAGGATGGAATGGGTAAAAAACTCATCTTTGTACATGATGTTAACTTACGAATAGTGCAATTCATGATCTTCAAACAGAAATTAAATTCTTTTAATTTCAAAATAGCATTTATAATGTTATGTGTTATGTAATAAATTGTTTGTATAATTGTTGATGACATAATTGTATACAGGGTTTTCCATAATTTTGTTAGTAGTAGGCTGTGTAGTGAAAGTAGGAGGCTGGCCTGCCGTGTACATGTAGTCATGCACGGAACATTATTACGGAACTGGATTGGTGTAGGTGGCCAAATGATCAAAGTAGCCGGTCAAATTGGCCGGCGACCAGCTCTTATGGAAAACCCTGTGTATATATCTTGAATTTCAAATATGAATTGCACTAGTAGTTGTTCCGATTGTTGGAAATAGTCTGAGCTTGGTCAACTAAGAAATAGAAGTAAGCGTCTGTTTAAGAATTCAAAACTTAATTTGTTGGTAGAAACAATGCTCTATATAAATATGAAACAGTCAGCTAATTTAAACAGCATATATCCGTGTCTTTTCAGGCTTTAGGCATAGTGACATATAGTTAGTTTGATACTGTTGTAAAGGATTAGCTACTATATACACATCTGTAAGAAGAAATATGCTAATGCTTTATTAATTATAAGAAATTAACTATTGAAAACATGGCATCCAAATTTTTCATTAAAATTGATTTACAAATATGGGAATTACTTCATTTCACATGAGTTATGTTCCGAGGGCAGCAGAATTCTGTGTTTTGGATTATTTTGTAATTTGGATATTCTGGATGGTTATCGTTGATATTTATACATTTGATAATGATCAGGAAGATGTTGCCATTGCTCAGTATTCTGCAATAATCTACGTAACAGCTACGTCTTGGTGGTTGTAAACACTAAACAATAGGAATTTAAGATATGAATGTTCATTACCCTTTTTATATGCTGTGGAGGGGGTCGTATATTGGCGTCATCTTCTCCGTCCGTCTGTACGTCCATTTCTTGTGAACGCAACTCCTTCTAAACGTATCATCAGATTTTCATATAACTTGCTCATTGTCACTAATACAATGGTTTGATGTGCATGAAGGGGCGATTTTACGGTTCATTGATTTTTGTAAGATTTATGCCATTTTATCTTGATATTTATATTTTGTGGCGGCGTATATTGTGTCCACTGCACTCTTGTTTTTATTTTCCGACATATTTATACATTAAAAACAGAATCACAATTTACATTGGGAAATCCAGGTATAATTGATGCAATTTGTAGAATTCATGAAAATTAAGATTATAAACATTGATTATTCACTGAGAGCCTGCTGATCATACAACTTTACCTACTGGTTCTCATCACTTCAATAATTTCTTGATTACAAGTGAAAGTGTTGTCTTTACTTTATCAGTGGAATTTACATTTGTTTAATATGATTCAGCTACTTGTGAGAGGTGTGGAGCTGTTGGGATCAAACATGCATTCTACTCAAAGTCCAAGCGCTTCTGTAGTCTCTCTTGTTCAAGGAGCTTTGCTACAGCTCAAAGAGAAGGCAAACCCAATTCTAAGGAACCAACTGCACCTCAGGTAAATGCCTATTTAACAAGTGTGCAATGAGATTTGGACAGATATTTCAGTCTTGGACTCCCATGCACTTACTAAGGGACTCGCCAAATTTTTTCAGAGTGTGTAATTTCTGTAAGGTATTGAACTCATTGGCAGAGTTTTACTCTAAACTCAACTGAAAAACTCTTACTTCTTATCCTGAAGAAGTATTTATTCAACATACATATGTATCTTATTTTACTGATAACCAAAACAATATTTTAATATCCTCATCAACTTATCTGAGGTTGTTGAAATCTAACTAGTAACTTAAGGTCAATCAACTATATCTCTAATAGATTGTTTTGTATCGTGATTGTAGAAAAAAATTGCAGGCAAGAAGCTGAATTCTCCAGGAAAACAAGCTACACAGCCAATCAAACAAATGTCCTGGCCAAAAACTGTTACCAGTCGTCCAGGTAATTGTTGGATTAAATATTGTCAACATTTGTTATTTGCTATCAGTGAATTTAAACCCAACACCAGAATTTTATTATAGCATATTAACAGTATGTATGTTATTACCGTAAATATTCGCGTATAGTGCGCACTCGCTTATAGTGCGCAGGTACTTTTTGGAGATCAGATTTTAAAAAAAAAATCTACAGAAAAATTAATTGACTGGTCACTGCGACGAAACATTTGATGTGGTCTGATCCATTGATAATTAGGAAACCACAATGAGCGTGACCCTAACACATGTAATTACCATAAGTAAACAAATTTACCCAGGTGACCTAACAAGCATGAAAGGCTTGGCTGATTGTATAATTAACGGTTAATGACAGTTAACACGTTGAGTATGAGGAGACTGATGACACCCGGCTTGGGCTGAACGCGTACTTTTGGTCAGAAAACGATGTTGTTTTAACTGTCTGATTATTTTCAATCCTACCTTGTCCCCATAAAAGCAGGTGGTTTGTTCAGTATAGGCATGATCTTTCATGGTATCTGTACCCACCGCGGTATTCGAAGGTATTTTATGATAGATTGTTTACACTGACTTCGACATGGGGAAACTGCGAACGCCATTTGACTACGCCGAGAGACTGGAGTTTTGTGCCGCCGGTCGCCATTTCGACATTCCAGAGTGAAATATCAAGGCACGGAAGAAAGAAAAGACCGTCTAAAGTCCAAACCACTGACCAGAAGGGCTGACATAGGTGCGACAGCGAAACACCCAGAGATGTATGTGATCGCCGATATCCCGGCATCGCTGCCAGTACAACAGAACTGCGCGTGCGGGCCATGCAGATCAAGAGAGGTCATGGGGTCACCAACTTTGGGCATCGGTGGGATGGGCTATCCGATTTATGAACAGAACGACAATCGCCTAAAAACTTCCGGATTCATTGAATTCCACAGATACAACATCATCAAAATGAGGCAGAAATTCAGACACTACTATAGCCCCGACCAATAGTAAGACCGACGGGAAACGAAAAAAAATTAGATTCACCGTAATGCTAGCGTGAATGGCAGATGATTAAAACATTCAAAATTTATTTTATTTTTTTGTTGTTTTTATCTCCAAACTATCATATAAGACCGACGACTTTTACATATAACTATATGAAGGGAGGTAATCCAATATGGCGGATGCAGAACTCGGGAATGATAACCCCAGGAATGGCATGTACCTGCGTATAGTGCGCACCCCCTTTTTGACACGACAGTTTCAGCTTAAAAAAGTGTGCACTATACGCGAATATTTACGGTATATTATAAGCTATAACATGTCATAATATCTCTAATGTTACAAATTACAACATGTTAACACATCACTTTTAATACCAATTATAGATATATATATATAACTTGAACTTTGTATCCCAGATACTATACATAATATGTTACCAGTACTTTATATATCAATTTTATGTTAGTATAACTAGTTGAAACTTATCCATATCCCTGATATGAAATGATTTGTTCCTTTTACGTAACAGGTGGAGTGCGGGGCTTTGACTGGGGTCCATACCTGTCTTCCACATCATCAGAGGCAGCCTCTGTCAGCTGTTTCAAACATGTAAGATCCCATGGATTGATACTCAGTAGGCATTGATCCCACCAGTGTGCAGCTGTTGTTTAGACCATAGATATAACTAGATAACACAACATTATAGTTGTTGAATCAATTTTATGTTGTGTTGTATATCATGGTTGTGATCTATTAGTGATGTCACAAGTTTTTTCCCTTATTCAACAGTCCAGCTCTATTTGCATCATCTTCAAAATGACTCGTATTGGTATTCTATCAGTTTCCCTACTTAAATGAGGACCCAAGCTTTTGTTCTTTAAAGCTTTTGGATTTGATACAAGATTATTAAACTGTGATTACAGTTTCTTGAACAGAGATTGGAAATATTGAGTCCCTATATATCCACAAAGTTATTTAATCATTTTCCTCTTTGCAGTGCCCAATGTCTGACAATTGGCTCAACATCACTGTTGGGATGAAAGTAGAGATTCAGAACCATGAATGTGACCTTCCTGATCACGCCTACTGGATAGCAACTGTTGTCAAGATAGCAGGTATACATAGTAATACTGTACATAACTTGAATTTCTTTCCGCACTGAAAGTAAGTAACAGATCACAGCAATGACAAACCTCTTTGTTACCCAAACAGCAAATAAACAAATTGTGGAGACAAACCTTTTAAAAGTTCAGAATATTTTAAACATCTGATGAGTTATAAATGCTATTTCAGCTTTGATTTGAAGCAGAGATTTATGTTAGAATTGCATTTAAATACATGCTTTGGATGATGGATATGAGTTGCCTTGGCAAAGAATATCAAAGTGTTATATTTTCTTTTTATGTTTGATGAACTCATAAGTTTGTATGATCTCTGATTCTTCCTGTTGATTGGAAAACTGTTGTTTGTAGGGTACAAGTCTCTAATGAGGTTTGAGGGATTTGGCAATGATACAAGTTATGACTTCTGGATGAACCTGTGCACTCAAGATGTTCACCCTGTTGGCTGGTGTGCGACCATAGGCAAGCCGCTCGTACCACCCAAATGTAGGTACCTTGAACAAGACAAATATATAGCTGATTTTTTCTTAGTACCATACCAACCAAACATACCAATTATGTAATTACAGCTAAGTATCTTGTTATATCTAAAAAACAAAAAATTATAGTACAGCAACACTAAACATTAGTGGAATGAAGTGTTTTCAGTGATTGGTAAAAGTGGCAACAAATTTGTTATTGACCAAATGTTTGTTATAAATTCATTCTTGTTTCAGCAATACAGCACAAATATCTTGACTGGAAGGAATATCTTGTGAAGAGACTAACTGGCTCACGAACCTTACCCAGTAATTTCTACAATAAGGTACAGTGTTTATTTATAAACAGAACAAAGTATTATATGAAATTCATTGTGTTATATGTTCACTTGATTTTATTTATTACTGTTGTTTACTGTTAGTTAACGTGGAGAAAATTGTTGTTTGTAGGTAGTGGAAAGCATCAGCAATCATCGCTTCAGAAAGGGAGTGCATGTTGAGGTGGTGGATAAGATGTGTGTGTCGGCCATGAGGGTTGCCACAGTAGATGAAGTAATTGGAGGCCGTCTACGGTTACAATATGTGGATTCTAAGGTATAGTGTTTATTTAAATTTTTCAGATCCCTGGACTGATTAAGGCTTATTTTGTCTACCTTTATTTTGCATGGTATGGCATCTTGAGCCAAAAATATTCTGATCATGTGATTCAGGTTTAAAGTCTGTTTAAACTGAAGCTTGCTGATTAACCAGGTCATGCTTTAAAATCAGTTAAGCATCTAATTATTCTTGGTGAATTTTGTTGAGTTTAGCATCTAAATATATTACTGCAGTATGTCAGGGATGATGCCCAAAACAGCCTATAATAGAATTCATAATTCAGGAAATATTTATAAAGTGTTTTCATTTAGTTAAATATTCTCTGTCAATTTTGAGAAGATCTTGTACATACTGGTGCAGATGTATCTGAATGTTGTTTATTTGTGCCACAGGAAGAAAATGATGACTTTTGGTGTCACATGAGATCCCCTTTGGTGCACCCAATCACATGGTCCCAAAGATCTGGTCACAAACTCCATGCCAGTCAGGGTAGGTACTTGGCATCTTAGTTATAATTAGCTGTTTTATAACACTTTCATGATGTTACAATAAAAATTGCTGCTAACTTGAGGTCCTGCACATGTAAACTTTGAAAGCATTGTTATGTAAGATTTTTTTTCCTTTTTGTATGAAAAGAAAAAAACCCAATTAAGAACAGAAAATTCATCCCAGTCTTCCTCATTTGCTATATTTTACTATGATGTAAAAATGTATTGTTGCTTTACAGAATACAAAAACCAGTGTCTGAACAAGATAATAACAGAGAACTACCAGCAAAATGACGCAGTTCCAGAAATGTTCCACAAGGTAAGGCTAATGTGTTTAAATAGCATAATAATTACACTCTCTGAATAACGCCCCGTAATTAGCACCTGTCCTCACAGTAGCCAGTGTCATATGAAGATGTTTCCACTAGTATTATCAAAAGACATGTACAACATTGTGTTGTTTATAGTTCTCAGTCTTGTATACTGACACTGTCATCTTGGACCAACACTTAAGATGTTGGCTCTTTACATTCAATCTTTACAAAGTATGGAAGGAAAACTATAGCTACAGGAATTTATAATTGAAAATCTAACCAACTTTTAACATGAGTCCATGAGAGAAATCCATCTGTTTTTCCATATTGGTTGTGGAGCTATTTTAATGATGGGATTTCTGTTTCCAGGTGAAGGAGCCTCAGGGAGATCTTCGGTTCCAGGTTGGAATGAAATTAGAAGCAATTGACCCACTTAACCTATCTGCCATCTGTGTCGCTACTGTCATGAAGGTAGGTCTGCTATATGAGATAGTAGGAGAATGACTTCAATCATTACAAGGGTAACAAGAGAGCAAAGAAGTTAATTTTTAATCCAGTGAATATAAAAAACTAAACCTTGAAAGGAGGGTGTTGTTGCCTGTACTTTACACTTTGATAAAAAGACTTGTAATAATGTGTACTGATAGGATTACAGTTCTGGTTTGATTTGAGTGTATTTTAATTTTTTTTTAGGTATTGAAGAATAATTACTTGATGATTGGTATAGATGGCTCCATGGCCCAGAATGGCTCAGACTGGTTTTGTTATCATACATCTTCACCGTGTATATTTCCTGTGGGCTTTTGTGAGGTGAATGGTTTAGACCTCACTCCTCCAAGAGGTAAGTGTAACTTAAATATTTTGGGAATTGAAATCTGGATTTGAGCCTTTTCTAACAAAACTCTTCCAGTTTTGAATGCTGAATACCACATTCTTATTAACATGCCTCAGACAACATGATGCTCTGTATCTACCATTCTCGACTCCTAAAGTAATTTATGGTCATAGTTTGGGAAATGTCAAGATTTTCAGTCAGAGTGTTTGTTGTTTTGATCATTAAAAATCTTGTCAGTAAGTGAAGTCCTTGATAAATGAAAACATAGATTTTGTGGCAGCCTCAGTAGCATCATCATAATTTTAGGTAAACTTACTGCTCCAATCCAATTAGCAATATAGTTACTTTGACCTCTGAACTCACCAAATACATTGCACAAATCCTACTTTTTTGACAAAAACCTCAGATGTTGAGAACTGACTACTGTAGATTTAGATTATAGTCATATTGAAACAATTACAGTAATATACAAGACAGGTTTACCTCTCCTTCAGGAAGAATGATATTTTGGGGGTAAAAATCTGTATATGAGTGAATATTGAGACATGAAAATGTCATATTTTACTATACATTGACATTTAAACATGATGCCAACATAGCTATGGTGATTACATGTTTTTTATTGAAATTAACTCGGAAATTTGGTATCGTAGGGGATGGGGAGGGGAAACATAAGTTTGAATGTATTTTGACAAAAAAAAACTTGTATAAAAAGCAGGAAAGGTTAGACATATAGTAATATGGAACTCTTATTGAGATTGTAATTGAAATGTTTTGGCTGAATAATTTTTTATGTAAAAGGTGTTAGAATTTCTCTATCATTCCCTTCTTTCATTTACAAAAATATTTCCATCTATTTTCCTCACCCCACCCCTCCCAATGAGAGTAGGTCATTAAGCCCTACTCCAGTGTTCCCCCCTTGGCAACAGCCTTTAGCCCGATATCCTATTGAATAAGTAATTCAAGAGTTGGATAGAAACACCTGTGTATGCCTTGTTGAATTAACATGACATGTGGATTGGATTTGTCTTACATCTACACTTTGATTACTGGAGGTAACATCTGGTGTGAATATTTTTGTGTGTATGGTATGACCAGCTGTTGATACTGCTGATGTTTGTTGTAGGATATAAAGGCCAGTTTAAGTGGTTTGAGTATTTAAAACAATCCAAGTCAACTGCTGCTCCTGTCAAACTATTTGATAAGGTAAGAAGTTTTTTTAATTCCTTGAATGTTAAAAGACTTGTCTTATTATACTGAAGATGATTCTTAAGTTAGACCAGATACATCAGATTTCCAGGTAAACTAGTATTAATGTAGGGTCATTTGTATTTGAGTGTTCAATTTTGTGAAAGCAAAGAAACATAAAACATTCAGTCTTGAGAGATCTTAATTTTGAATTTGTTCTCAATAGCACAGCATCTCTGTTTCAGGAAATACCAAAACATGGCTTCAAACCTGGTCATAAAGTAGAAGCAGTTGATCTGATGGAGCCCAGGTATACACATATTAACAAATATCTTCATTGTGGTGATAACTCTGCTAATTTCTATTCTTCAGTTCCTGACTCAAATAACAGTTCAATAGCCAGTACAGTGGTGGTTAGAAAATGACTACATAAGATTTTAAAATATTGTTATGCACATTGTCAAGTGTGCATAAACTTTCCACTTTTTATCGTACTTGTATTTTCTATGAATATACTTTATGATCTGTTATACTTTTCGGACATGAAATGAGAGTTGTCTTGTGAGATGCAGTTATCCAGAGGAAGAGGGATCTATTTCAGGAATTGGAACTGTCATATGACCCTACAGTCCCAGACAAGGGAAGATATAAAATCATCATATGGGTGACATTACAATTCCTGGCTAGGTAGATATAAGAATTGTCATATGACCCAACCGTCCCAGACAAGGTAGATATAAGATTATTATGTGACTTACAGTCCCAGACAAGGTAGAAATAAGATTATTATGTGACTTACAGTCCCAGACAAGGTAGAAATAAGATTATTATGTGACTTACAGTCCCAGACAAGGTAGAAATAAGATTATTATGTGACTTACAGTCCCAGACAAGGTAGAAATAAGATTATTATGTGACTTACAGTCCCAGACAATGTGACCTTACAGTCCCAGACAAGGTAGAAATAAGATTATTATGTGACTTACAGTCCCAGACAAGGTAGAAATAAGATTATTATGTGACTTACAGTCCCAGACAAGGTAGAAATAAGATTATTATGTGACTTACAGTCCCAGACAAGGTAGAAATAAGATTATTATGTGACTTACAGTCCCAGACAAGGTAGAAATTAGATTATTATGTGACTTACAGTCCCAGACAAGGTAGAAATTAGATTATTATGTGACTTACAGTCCCAGACAAGGTAGAAATAAGATTATTATGTGACTTACAGTCCCAGACAAGGTAGAAATAAGATTATTATGTGACTTACAGTCCCAGACAAGGTAGAAATAAGATTATTATGTGACTTACAGTCCCAGACAAGGTAGAAATAAGATTATTATGTGACTTACAGTCCCAGACAAGGTAGAAATAAGATTATTATGTGACTTACAGTCCCAGACAAGGTAGAAATAAGATTATTATGTGACTTACAGTCCCAGACAAGGTAGAAATAAGATTATTATGTGACTTACAGTCCCAGACAAGGTAGAAATAAGATTATTATGTGACTTACAGACAAGGTAGAAATAAGATTATTATGTGACTTACAGTCCCAGACAAGGTAGAAATAAGATTTATGTGACTTACAGTCCCAGACAAGGTAGAAATAAGATTATTATGTGACTTACAGTCCCAGACAAGGTAGAAATAAGATTATTATGTGACTTACATTACAGTCCCAGACAAGGTAGAAATAAGATTATTATGTGACTTACAGTCCCAGACAAGGTAGAAATAAGATTATTATGTGACTTACAGTCCCAGACAAGGTAGATATAAGAATTGTCATGTGACCATACAGTCCCAGACAAGGTAGAAATAAGATTATTATGTGACTTACAGTCCCAGACAAGGTAGAAATAAGATTATTATGTGACTTACAGTCCCAGACAAGGTAGAAATAAGATTATTATGTGACTTACAGTCCCAGACAAGGTAGAAATAAGATTATTATGTGACTTACAGTCCCAGACAAGGTAGAAATTAGATTATTATGTGACTTACAGTCCCAGACAAGGTAGAAATAAGATTGTCATGTGACCATACAGTCCCAGACAAGGTAGAAATAAGATTATTATGTGACTTACAGTCCCAGACAAGGTAGAAATAAGATTATTATGTGACTTACAGTCCCAGACAAGGTAGAAATAAGATTATTATGTGACTTACAGTCCCAGACAAGGTAGAAATAAGATTATTATGTGACTTACAGTCCCAGACAAGGTAGAAATAAGATTATTATGTGACTTACAGTCCCAGACAAGGTAGAAATAAGATTATTATGTGACTTACAGTCCCAGACAAGGTAGAAATAAGATTATTATGTGACTTACAGTCCCAGACAAGGTAGAAATAAGATTATTATGTGACTTACAGTCCCAGACAAGGTAGAAATAAGATTATTATGTGACTTACAGTCCCAGACAAGGTAGATGTGAATAAGATTATTATGTGACTTACAGTCCCAGACAAGGTAGAAATAAGATTATTATGTGACTTACAGTCCCAGACAAGGTAGAAATAAGATTATTATGTGACTTACAGTCCCAGACAAGGTAGAAATAAGATTATTATGTGACTTACAGTCCCAGACAAGGTAGAAATAAGATTATTATGTGACTTACAGTCCCAGACAAGGTAGAAATAAGATTATTATGTGACTTACAGTCCCAGACAAGGTAGAAATAAGATTATTATGTGACTTACAGTCCCAGACAAGGTAGAAATAAGATTATTATGTGACTTACAGTCCCAGACAAGGTAGAAATAAGATTATTATGTGACTTACAGTCCCAGACAAGGTAGAAATAAGATTATTATGTGACTTACAGTCCCAGACAAGGTAGATATAAGATTATTATGTGACTTACAGTCCCAGACAAGGTAGAAATAAGATTATTATGTGACTTACAGTCCCAGACAAGGTAGAAATAAGATTATTATGTGACTTACAGTCCCAGACAAGGTAGAAATAAGATTATTATGTGACTTACAGTCCCAGACAAGGTAGAAATAAGATTATTATGTGACTTACAGTCCCAGACAAGGTAGAAATAAGATTATTATGTGACTTACAGTCCCAGACAAGGTAGAAATAAGATTATTATGTGACTTACAGTCCCTGCCAAGTAAAGATGAGAAAAGTCGCATGACCACACAATTCCAGATAGTGTAGATATAAGAATCATCATGTGACATAGTCCCTGACAAAGCAGATTACAATTATCTTGTGACTTTACAGTCCCTGACAATGTAGGTTAGAATCGTTGTGTGACATTGTAGTCATTGAGAAGATAAGATATGAATTTTGAAGTAGTCTTGTGTATAACCCTTCTCGTTTTTTTTTTCTAGGCTTATCTGTGTGGCTACTGTCAGTAAGGTGGTGGGTCGACTCTTACGGATCCATTTTGATGGTTGGGAGAATGAATATGATCAGTGGGTGGACAGCGAGTCTCCAGACCTTTACCCTGCTGGATGGTGTGAGGTCATGAGCTATGGCCTAGAGGGGCCAAGGGTTAAAGGTGAGTAAAATACTGAAACAGTGTTAAAGCCAGTAAACAAGTCAAATATGTGATGATGATCTGATAGATATAGAATGGTTTTTTTCTGTAATTTGATATATATCAAGGTATTAATCATTATATATATTCAAGAACTTGGGACTGTTTTTATTTGATACTGATGAGCTTCACCTGTTTTTGCAGTAAAAGATCTAGTAAAGCACACATGTGCCAGTAGGAAGAGAAGACGCTGTAATTACATTGCCATCATACAATTGATATTTGCTTTATGTTCTGTAGTTGAACCTCCAGCACCAATCCCTCAAGTAACCAAGTCAAGCAAATCTACAGACAGTCACTCTAAAAAACGCAAAGGCAAGACTCAGATCTACAAGGGACCACGCAAAAGTAAGTCTACAAGTTAGTGTCATTTTACTCACTTTTTTAAGATTGAAATCTAATTGTATGTACTATCATACTACAATACAAGGTTTAACTATACTGAAATAGGAGAAACCTATATAGTGTTCCCAAGGAGCTGATGGTTAGGGCTCAAAGATGTCAAATTAACTTCTTTGGTTTTCCTCTTTTATGTATATTTATACAGACCTTTGTTTGAGATAAATGTACAAGATACTTTATGATCCTATCATCACCCTTAATCAGTTGTAAAATACAGATAACAGATGAACTATCTGACAGATTTAATTCATATTTACAATATGGCATCACTACCAAGGTCAACACTTGTTCAGATTTTGGTGGCCATTGGGCAAGATCAAAAGCCAAAGGTCACACTAGACCATTTCTCAAATAAAAACATTGTGTACAAGATATGACATGAACCCCTTAATAGTTTTCCCCACCAGTATACTGTATACAGGTCATAGGTCAGATTTTGAATGAAAAAGCTTATGCAGATAGCTAATGAACAACTTCATTATTCAGATAGATTTGTATCAAAAGAAAAAGGATGAAAGGGGGATATGTGAATGATAGCCCATGCTCACTTTGTGTTAATTTGACAAGAAGACAACTAACATTAGAATGATGTTAACTGAAATGCTTGCCCTATACAACAGAGCGGAAGCCAAAGTTGATCCCAGGCAGCACCATGCTGGATATCCACCGAGATCTACAGAACAACGACCGTGCCCAGGGATTCTTGTCCTTCGGCAGCCGCACTAGATCTGCACACTCCGACCCTAGTACACTGCCACCATTGGATGAGGGGCGTACAGGCCCAGTGAAAGGTAAGTAAAAAAAAAAAAGGTATAGCCAATGGTCAGTCTAAACAGGCCCTCTCAGAGCCAAAGGTCAGTCTTAACAGGCCCTCTCAGAGCCAAAGGTCAGTCTTAACAGGCCCTCTCAGAGCCAAAGGTCTGTCTTGACAGACTCAGTCAAAGGTCAGTCTTAACAGGCCCATCCAAAGGACAGTGTAACAAAAAACATGTTCAATGGTCAGTATTACAAAGTATGTGTAAAGGTCAGTTTTTACAGGTCAGTATAAAAAAGTATATGCAAATGTCAGTATAAACAGATCAATCATCAGAAAGGCTCAGTAGGAGGTCATTATAAGCAGGTGGGTAGAACTTGCAATGTTATCAGTGAGTGAAGTGACTGATGTGATTGGTCAGGAGCAAATGTGAATCAGTCTTTATTTCTGTTGAATTTCTCTTTTCATTGTGATATTTACATTACTTAAAAACTCCATTAATTTTAGAATTTTATGCTTGTTTTTATGCACCTTCTAGATATTACAACATGAATTTCATTGTAATGGGGGATATTAACCAAGCATGGGCATTTCCTAGACCAGAACTTTAAAAGTTCAACTTCTCAGATCTTTGTATGGTTACAAAGTTAATACTCTAATAATGCCTTTTGCTGTGGATAACCTTTTCATTTACATAATTCTTCCCTTGCTATGGAAACAGGCCTAATTATAAATTTCAGAACATGACACCAAAACCATTCAAGATCACTACCTGAAATGGAGCTTTCTAGTTACCATGGAAATGGCCAAATCTTCAGATTTTGCTGTTTACAGAGTAAAATATCAAAAATGTTCAACATTTAAAAAATGGAGTTCTCATTTTTTTCTTGTTGCCATGGAAAGAGATTGAAAATTTAACGGTTAAAGATGATCTTTATTAAAATATTAGTAACACTCTTGGATTGTAGTTAACATGTAGGTATATGATTGTTTTTTTCGTTTAGGTAGCATTGTGCAGGGAATAGTTATTGTTGTACTTTGTTCTGTTTTGTTTTAACATTCAACTATGCGTTAATTCCAAAGTTCATGATCTAATCATACTATTTCTGATATAATTCTCTACAGCAAAACAGGAGATTGATGATAGTGGAACGGTGGACGGTCCCCCAACATTAAGCCCCCATGCGCCTGGAGGAGGAGTTTCCATAGAGACAGTGAAGACAGAGCCTATGGACACTTCTCCTGCTCCAACCACCGGTATAGCTTTCACCAAGACTGCGCTGTCCAATCTCCTCTTGTCTAAGTCACCTCTCCGTGGATCATCCTCTGACCTAGCCAAGGTCATCAATTCTGACCCTCTCACTCATGTCACTATTTCTGACCCTGGCAAGACAGGGTCATCAGAGACAACATCCGATAGACAAAAACAAGTGTCGCCGTCTGCCTGGACTGTTTCCGATGTGAACCACTTCCTTAGAGATCAGGACTGTGCTGCTCAGTGTGATAGCTTCACAAAACTGGTAAGAAACAAAAACATATGATAGTTTGTATATACCAGACTATGGAGCAGGGCCATAGAGCTGATATTTCATATATAAACAAGTTTAGGGAAGAAAGAGATGTATATACACAAGTTTTAGAGTAGAATAAAGGCTTCCATGATCAGAGAAAGTATCTGCTCTAAAGAGACTGGAAAAATAAAGGAGTTAACTTGTTTCCTTTTCTACTTACAACCAAGAGAATAGCGACAGGGTAGTAAGTCTTCTGTAAAGACTTGGGACTGATAGACAAGGTAGTAAGTCTTCTGTAAAGACTTGTACTGATAGACAGGGTAGTAAGTCTTCTGTAAAGATTTGGACTGATAGACAGGGTAGTAAGTCTTCTGTAAAGACTTGTACTGATAGACAGCATAGTAAGTCTTCTGTAAAGACATGGACTGATAGACAGGGTAGTAAGTCTTCTGTAAAGACTTGTACCGATACGGTAGTAAGTCTTCTGTAAAGACTTGGACTGATAGAAAGGGTAGTAAGTCTTCTATAAAGACTTGGGACTGATAGACATGGTAGTAAGTCTTCTGTAAAGACTTGGACTGATGATAGTCTTCTGTAAAGACTTGTACCGATAGTAGTAAGTCTTCTGTAAAGACTTGGACTGATAGAAAGGGTAGTAAGTCTTCTATAAAGACTTGGGACTGATAGACATGGTAGTAAGTCTTCTGTAAAGACTTGGGACTGATAGACAGGGTAGTAAGTCTTCTGTAAAGACTTGTACTGATACGGTAGTAAGTCTTCTGTAAAGACTGATAGACAGAGTAGTAAGTCTTCTATAAAGACTTGGGACAGATAGGCAGGAAAGTAAGTCTTCTGTAAAGACTTGGACTGATAGACAGGGTAGTAAGTCTTCTGTAAAAACTTGTACTGATAGACAGCATAGGAAGTCTTCTGTAAAGACATGGACTGATAGACAGGGTAGTAAGTCTTCTGTAAAGATTTGGACTGATAGACAGGGTAGTAAGTCTTCTGTAAAGACTTGGGACTGATAGACAGGATAGTAAGTCTTCAGCAAAGTTGTGGACCTACAGTAAAGATTTGGCAAAGTTTTTCTTTCTGATTAAACTGGAAAATGTAGCATGTTTGAGTGGTAAACAAACTGAAGATGTATTAGAACTATGTTGTTTATTAAAGTCTGTTTCTGAAATGTTTCAAAACAATTTTCTTTGTCATTTTTTTAAAAGAGGTAATTATTGGTAAATGTACTTATTTCTCTATTTCAGAACATTGACGGAAAGAGATTTTTGGAGTTGACTCGAGAGCAGATAGTTAGCTTAACTGGAATGAAAGTTGGTGCTTCTCTCAAAATATATGACTTAATTCAAAACTTAAAAAATTCATCAAGAATCACCTCATCATAGCAGGCTTAATTTGTGTTCAGCCTGTTGAGATTTTTTCCCCTTTTTTTGATAAAATTTTTTTGAACTTTATAAAGATAGACACATATAACAAACACATATGGAGTTACTTTCAAGGATTTACAGTTATGGATACTTCCTCACAGGTCTACATATCTGCCATGATTGCCTTTTATTCTCATTTTCTTTATTTGTCACATAGATCAGTGTGTAATTTCTTTTCTAGTTGGAATATAAGTCTACTGTTAACCAGGAAGACTCCTGTAATTTTACCAAAATTATGACAGAAATTAAGGGTTTTCAGTGTAATGTATTGATGCTAATTCCAAGTTTTGAATTCTTATGAAAGTTTTGTAGGCATTGTATCTATTCTTAGAAATTTCCTAGTGCTTGACATTCTTCAAAAGATGGGGCATTAAAAAGAGCTCAAAATATTGAAATTCTGTAGGTCAGCTCTAGATCTCGTATGTAACTATTGAAACTTTGGGGATTAGTTAATTTGGTTCTTCTAGGATTTTAATTTAGAGGGGAATGGGACCTTTCTTTAGTAGGAGAGTTTATCAGAATAATACGGTACAATTGTGCAATGTTGATGTCCATTACATTTTATTGTGGGCATTACTATAATGAATGTTAACAACCCTCCTGTTTGATATGTAAATACTTTGTGATACATTGTTCTTTAAATTACTGGCTTATATTGAGTTCAATTTAGAAACATAATTAAAAGCCATTTTTTCATAATTTTAGTTTGAGAAAATTAAATTGATCATTACTGTGCTAATTATTTCATGTATTTTGATGTTAGGGTTAGTGGCCAGTTTGGTGGTATAACAAATACAGACAAGATGATCTACTGCAAATTGGGAATACTTTTTTATATGAAAATTGCAATATATATATTCATGCCTAAATTGTTGTACAGTGTATTTGCCTGAAGGCCAGTGCTAACAGTTGATCTATTAACCGTAGTGTACATGCATTAAGACTGTAACAATGTTAAAGGGTAATACTGGCGATATTAAGCAGGCAGCACCCCTGTCAGGGGCTGTCACCAGTATACATATGTAAGTCAAGAACTGTGGTTCTGTTTAATGAATTTAAATACTACAGTCAGTTATCACAGATCTTGTCCTAGTTCCTCGTTAGATGCAATTTATATTGAATGAAACTATTAATGAAATATGATGTTGTTGTTATTTATTCTATAGAAAATCACTGACCAATTTTGTGAAGGTATTATCACAAGAATGGTGTTTATAATAAAGATCTGGCCCATCCAAATGACCTAAAAGTGAAGAGATAAAACTTGGTGGTGCTGGCCTGCAGAAGCACACACTTGCTTTCAACTAGGTGGCCCAATGACTATTCATATTCAAAGGCCATCCCCTACTCTCTCAAGGCCAAAAGAGTGACTACATTAAGTGGATGGAACTGATTTTTAGGTCATCTGACCCGAAGGGTCGAGAGGACCTATAGCCATCGTGCTTCGTCCGTCGTCATGTGTCCGTAAACTTTTCAAAAAACTTCTTCTCAAATACTAGAAGGCCTAGGGGGCTAATACTTGGCCCATAGCATGCTGGCATGGAGCCCTACAAAGTTTGTTCAAATTAATGACTTTGACCCACTTTCAAGGTCACAGGGGTCAATTATATTAAAATATACAAACAACCTCTTCTCAATAAGCAAAAGTCCAAGAGTGCTGATAATGGACCTGTAGGATGCATGGATGACATGCTACCAAGTTTGTTCAAATGATTGACCTCGCCCCACTTTCTAGGTCACAGGGGTTAAGTATGTTAAAATATGCAAATGACTTCTCAATAACCAAAATGATTAGAGTGCTGATATTGGTCCTGTAGGATGCTTTGAGGAAGTGTTACCAAATGTGTTCAAGTGAATGACCTTGACCCACTTTCAAGATCACAGGGTTCAGATATGTTAAAATCTGTAAACGACTTCTTCTCAGTAACCAAAAGGCTCAGAGTGCTGATATTGGGCCTGTAGGATGCTGGGAGGAAGGGCTACCAAGTTTATTCAAATGAATAAAGCCCAGACTCACTGTTGTTAGAGTTTGGCTTGCTTTTTGTCAGATGACCGTTAAGGCCCATGGGCCTCTTGTTTTCCATTGTGTTTTTTATTGTGTTTACATATTTAGAGGTAAAGTTTGAGAGTATTCGCGCTACACACTTTTATCAGTAAAGTATAGATTTAACTCAGTTCCTTCCTCTGGAGAAAGTAGAATGCCTGGGATACTCCTTGCATATAATATGACAGCTTCAGTAGATTACCTTTTACAGCTACCTTGAAACATTTTGAGTGGTTAGTCCACTATCTGATGATGGCAGGCAGCTACTTTCATGCTTTGTTCTTTAAAAAATCTTGTCAATAGACCTGGATTGATCTTTCTCACAATTCATCTGAAGAATCCAGAGGGGTCATAGCGCTCATATGATCTTAATTTGTGCTTTGCAAGTTTGGTAGGTGTTTTCCCTTATTTGCTTGTATTAAATTTGAGAATTATGTACCCCATAAGAATTTTTGATTACCAGTTGTTCCAAAATCAATGATGCACAAGGGACAAAAGGAAACCTACATATGAAAGTTGAGAATATTTATCCATTATTTATTGAGAAAAAAATTTCATTTTGTGGGCAGTACTAGATGGATAAATTTCAAATTTCCTGTGTAGGTTTAAATGTCCAACCAGACAATCTTGGATTTTGATAGTGAAAAGGTCTTTGTCGCTATTTCTTGGTTCCCCTGGTCCATAAATGTGCTAAGACCATTATATGTTCCAATTGGAAAAACAAGTTGGCCAACAGGTGGCCATCATTATATTTAAAAGCCATAGTCTGGTATAAATATTTTCTGAAGCACTGGATGGATTTCAGGTGTAGGTTGTCTTTGGTCCCTTGAGACTGATCAGAAATTCTCAGATTTCATAAGCGAGGTCCCTAGGTAAGAAAATGGAAATAACCAAAAGGCAGCCATCTTGGATTTGACCATGAAAGTTTATTATCACTATTCCATGAGAAGTGTGGCATGGATCTGGAGTTGTAGCTATTCAAAGTTGGAATTAATCAGGAAAACAAAATGGAAGGTATACGAACATCTTGGATTCAACAAAGAATATCACAGCTTTGTAAGAGTAACTCTCAAATTTCAGATAATTAAAAAGAGCAGAGGAAAGAGAAATTGATTTGGAGGAAAGTCAGCAAAAGAGAAAAGATCTGCCTTGCACCACTTAAAGCAGTCCATTGAGGGATCCCTTGTTTACTCTGTATTGTCAATACTGCCACAAAAGATAATTGTTAAGCTACATCAAAATTTCCAATGAAGTTGCAATTTTCAGCCCACCATCTGTATAGCCCATCCATAATCAATTTTTGTTTTGATTTTTTCAATAAAGATTATTATTGCTTGGAGAGATCTCTCTCAAATTTCCTGTGTAGACTCCACTTTGTACCCATTTAATTTTAGGACTGATCAGAAAAACAAAATGGCTGACAGGTGACCATCTTTGATCTTTCATTTTGAAAGTTTGTTATCTCTACTTGAGTAGTACAGCATAAATATTTCTCAAATTTTGTGTATAGGTTCCTCTTTGTCCCCGTCAGACTTTTGGACTGATCAGTAAAACAAAATGGTCAAGAGGCAGTCATCTTGGAATTTTGCAGAGTAAAGATTTCTATCCCTATTTCTTAAAAGGTACTGGAGGGTCTCTCAAATTTCATACTAGCTATTTTCCCATCAATATTCTAGCCATTCCACACAGTCGTTGATATGATTGACGGACCTATATTGACCCCATCAATGGCAGACATCAGTAATTCAAGGCTATTTTATCAATTACAATTGATTAAACAGATTTAATGGTATACGATACAGGTTGCCAGTGCCACCAGCTACCTAGTAGAGACCCTGCCACAAAATGACCCTGGCTGTGTACAGGTCAATAAATCCAGCACACAAACTGTAATAACCTCATTAAGATTTGAGTTGTAGCTTATATAAACTGACAAAAATACTGACAAATGATTTCACAGAAAACTGTACAACCACATGTTTATTTACCAATATTTATGAGATGAATGTCAATGACTTAATGAATAAAAATGTTTTGACAAACAAACATATACAAGTGACATGACCTAGTTCGTGGACACTACAAATAACATGAAAAGTTTGTGTGGGACCAACATCTTGTGATCCCGGCTTGCTTTGTCTTTACACCAAAAGTCACACTCTCTACTCTTTTTCTGTTGTGTCCTTTACACCAATTTACAAACAGCACAAAGAAAGCTGAGCTCAGAGGCAACTTCTTCCTTCACAATATGCAAGTTCTCCTCCTCACAACATTCACCACAGCAATCAAGGACTGCCAAAGTCAGTATGAGATGAGTGATAAGAAGTTCCTATGAGAAATGAGAATGATGAATGCTGAGAGATGAGGTTCCTTATAAAGTCCAATATTTCCTTTTGTTCTTATTTACCGTTGTCCTCCAGTTTGTTGTGCAAATACATCTATCGTGTCTCCATCTTCCATGTCGAGCTGTGGTAGAGAGAGAAAAACAAGATGAAAACTAAAGAGTTAAATTGTGATATAACTTCAGACTAAAAGATGTTACAAGCATGTGGTGTATTTTATCACTAGCTGTCCCTAGGTCACACAGGACACCATATACACTTAAGTGTCTTTGTTTCATTTTTAATACTTCGATGATGAAACGTACAGAAAATACTCCATATAAAATAACTTTGCATGAAATTACATTTTATATTAAAATTTTCTATTGATTTTGATCTGGATGAAACGCCATAATTGTATAAAATAAAAGCCAAGTTGATAGATTTTTATAATCATTATTTTTATTATTTTGAAAGCCTTTCTTGATGTTCTTTATTCAATGGCAATATATCTATTATGGTGTCCTCTTATGTCTGCTAATTATTTTTGTGAAGAAATCTTACTCTTAAATTGAAGTTATTAATATTTATTGCAATATCTTATCTAAATTATGAACTTGTTATTAGTTTGACAAGAAAATGTACTTTGAAAAGGAAACCTACTCCCAAATGAACAATCTTTGGTGTCCTGTCACCTCCAGGAACTTAATGTAAAACGGCTTATTTTCCCAATCATTAAAAGCAGATTTACCAGGATGCAATATCATTTTATGATGTGGAATCTACATCATGGTGTTTAACCTTGTTTTAAAATTTTTCAGAAACAGTTGTCTCAGACATAACCAATATTTTATGATAATCTGTACTCATATAAACCAGTACTGTTATACAATTCACAATGAACACATTAATCCTGTAGGGGATCAAGGGCCCTTCACAACTGAAAATTTCCAGTTTTTTTAATTTTTACATAGGACGGCCCATCTTATTTATGCTAAAAATCAATGAAAATGCTCCATTGCTCTCAGTTCCCAGGATTTTTCCTGCATACATACAAATGTGTACAATTCTGTGAGAAGAGTAACAACACCTCCTTTTTTTTACTTACAATTTACAATTGATCACTTCAGTGATATCAATTTCATATTTTCAAGAACCATTTGGTGTTTAATTAAAAGATTAAATTACTAACTGCCGTAGGAGTGTCCGTCTCGTTGATTGGGTTGCCGTCAAATCTAAATCGCAAGGATGCCAATTTTATTCCCTGAAAGATAAAAACGTGTTAAAAATCAGTGTAAATATTAGCATACATTCCATATTAAAAGTATTCAAACATATACAAGAGTGTTCGATAATTTATAACTCATTATTTTTCATCAATTGACCTTAATTCCTATCAATGCAATTATAACATTCAAACAAAACCATGCCTTTCTCAAGAAAGACTATACTCCAAAAATCAGAACCATTAACTCCACCTTTTATAAACAGTAGTCTAGTGTTCTCATATATAGCTTGACAATGTCAAAAGTAGCCTGATTTTCACCAACTTTATAAACAGTAGTCTAGTGATCTCATATATAGCTTGACAATGTCAAAAGTAGCCTGATTTTCACCAACTTTGAACTGTTCAAGTAAATATACTTAAAATTCAGTTGGCCAATTCCAGCCACCTGTGCCAATTGTTTTTCATTGCTACCATTTAAGGAATCGTGGTAGATCAAGTTTAGTTGTGTTTCAATATCATGTGTTGTAACTGGTGTACAAATATTATTGTAACAGACAAGAACTTGTCCCAAGATTTCCTTAGGCAACTGCAACACTTGCGGAACCAAGGCTAGTATTTTCATCAATATATCCCTGTTCCCACATGGATCCATGTGGATATCATTTGCAGCTACATGTATAATGAAGTCATTTTTATTACAAATGCCATTGCTAGGGATTGATATACACAGCAAGTTCATCTAATGTAGTATATTGCAACCAGTGTTTACCTGGGTCACATAACAGTAATCTTAGTATTTACACTTCCACATACAAGGAAGAATTACATTTACATGAGAAACTTGAGAATTCTATGGTATTGGCAAAGTTGCAACATTACTGGCAAGGATAATCTGCATGGAATAAAAGGGCCCCTCAAAAGTTAAACTGATCCCTCAATTTTTCTGCAGTGCTTTTTGCAATTTACATAAGATGTCCAACCTTACTTCCTGACATTTCCTCATAATGGCCCATTGCTCTTAGCTCCCAAGATTTTCCTTGTACTGATCATAGTTAAATAAGCCATGTACTTACTGATCACTTACTTTAATCTGAAGACACACTAGCATTACCATTTCTCTTGTATGATGGATACTTACAACTCTGTCACAGTATGCCGACATCAATTTCCGTAGCGGTGTATTTTTCTTGATTTTAAAGTGTACCACACTACCATCTTGACCTGTGACTTTTAAGTTGATGTGTTCTGCCCCCTCTGGCTTTACTATCTGCTGATCATCAGCTCCCTGTCAATAAAATGATTCCTATAGCATACACATACCTTCAACCCAAAAGATAAAGCTATCAATTTAAAGCAGAATTTACATCAGTAGAATCTTTGACAATTTTCAAATAATTAATCATATGAATAGAAAGTCGATGTGCTACACCAGACATCAATCTGTAACGAGTGAAAAACCCATGTAAGACAGCTACCGTGTCTAGAGCCTACACGTTGGATCCGAATGTACAGTGTGTATTGACGGATGAAAGATTCGCTTACAGTGAGTGCTAAAATATAACAATAATGGGGAAATGGCGTTTCTTTGTGAAATGACCGTACGATATCCACCTCCGGTCACAAACATGTGGCCGTAGCGTGATTTTATCGTTTCGTTTCTTTACTATAAGTAAAGGCGGGGTGTTTCCACCAAACGAAATAGATTGTATGGTTTCTACCTAAATCATCATACAAACGTACGTAACTAATTTCAAGACAGTTTTTATAACAATCGAAAAACTTCAATTATACCGATAAATAATTAAAGAACCGCGGGAAATAATCACATACAAAACCATTCCGAAACTAACGTGTGCTATTCTATATTTTATCAGTTCTCCTGTGGGTTTCAAAATTCAGATAGAGAAACAAATGTACCTTGTTCTCCGACATTGTGAAATCAACAGGAAATGTTCTCCAGATGTCTAAGTCCCCTTAGTCGCGTTGTATTTTTGGTCTGGTTTGCGGGGAAAATGGCGCACAAAGGAAAGGGATACCGGGGTCTTATCAAAGCGTTATGATACACGCTCTCTGATTGGTCAGTGTTGGACATAGCCTCAAAGAAACTCTTGATCAAAACAAGGGGATATTGTTACTCTAAACCGATGACATTTTTCATAAATGACGAGCATTTACAGGTCATGCAAATTTGTAAACGATTTACATCAGGGAAAGCAGTATTATTGTGAACTTGATTTTTTTTCCATTCAATATTTGTTTTTCGTTTTTGGCCAATAAGATTACACGTTCCTTTGCCTCCCGCAAACCGGACGAAACCGGATTGAAAAGTAGGTCACAGGGGTCGATGAGTGCAAGTTTCCTTTTGCGCAGTTTGATTGTCTAATATATGTTGTGACTACGTACAAACTTCAGCTTAAGTAAGAAATACATGTGAAATACTGTTTTCTATCACTTATCCGGTTTCTCAAAGTATGAAAATTATTTACCTAATACGATTTGAATATGTTACAGTGAATCACTGAAGGATTTCCGTGTCAGTACATATTGGTTTATTATAATCTGGTCACGGGAAATAGACAGGGAGAGGCAACTGTGGAAAGCATTACTATTAAATAAACAATAAACTCCTTATTTCAACATAACATTCCCAATATAATCATGAAGTTTTTATATGAATTTTTCAAGGTATCGGCCATATCCAATATCAGACCAACCCGATAAGTAACAATATCAATTCAAAACCATCTCGAGATAATTTCGGACAAATTTCAGCTCAACCACACTGGTGGAACTTAACAAATATAAAAAAAGGTAATGTTCAGGAAAACCATGATCGCGAAGTCATGATTCAAAATTGCCGCCATGGCTGCAATATCGAACTTTGGTCGAAGCCAGAAAATAATACAAGAGGATAACCTTCCTTAACATTCTCACTAATTTTCAGCTCAATGGAACCAGTCAAATGAACATTTGGTTGAGAGAAGAGGTTTAAAATGTCTTTTCAAAATGGTGGTTAAGATGGCCATGTATGTTTTTGAACAGAATCCCAAAAATAAAACTTGTCCAGGACCATTTCAGGAAAATTTCAGATCAGTCCCTTGGGTGGAACTTGAAAAGATATTTAAAATGTTAGATGTGAACGGCGAGCGACAAGCTAAATCGTGACACGTAGAAGAGTGTAGATTTATGTGGTAATGACTTCTGTGATTAGCGTTTATAAAAAGAATCTTAGATATACATATGATCTCAGATGTTGAAAAAAAAATTAAGTAGATGCACATTTTACCCATTAATAAAGAAAACGGACAGAGACGTCTTCAAAGTTGGAATAATAAAACATCAAGATAATACCAACATATCAACATAATCATAATCAAAATCCATAAAACTAGGGCAAAATATGAACAAACAAAGAAAAATACAATGAGACTCCTGAAAAAGTATAATGAAAATAACACCAGGTGTTCCGGAAGAGGAAGTGTCTCCTGCTTCATCGACGATACTCGCCATGTAAACTTTGATAAACCCAGGGACGTATAATACAGTAATATACGTCCCTGATAAATCCATGTAAGTAATGTCGCGTTCTCAAATGTGAACAAGGTATACAACGCCGGAACGAACAGGTAAACTAACGAGCATCAAATACGTCCAACTTCATGCATACACATAAAGAAATATAATCTGTATTTCTCAGTGAGATCACTATGGCGACCATAGTTTTCATCAACCTACATCTTTTAAACCCTTGTATTACGAGTTTGTCAGCCAGTTGACGACTTATTGCTCTAAAATCGTGATAATGGGAACAGGCCCTTGAACACCGAATCAACTTCAGGCGGTGACATGTAAATACCATAGTTTGAAGACAAAGGAATATTGCTATCCTGCAATGGAAAATTCAAACTAGGGTAATTGAAATCACTACGTTTATCATACAGCTTGCAATTGATGGAAAACTGTCTGTGTTGGTTTCGTTGTAAGAATAGATTAAGCAGCTGATATAGAAGTGTCTGTCTTTGATTTCCAGTTCTGGTGGATATATACGGAAGACGTAATCATGAATTTTCTTATTATTTAAAGACAAGACGTCATCAATGTATCTGCAGGTGAAATCAAACAACTTTGAAAGGTATATGTGTTCTGTTTTTATAAGCTCTTCCAGTCTCGTATGAAAACAAAAACAACTTAGCCAACTGAGCGGCGCAGTTGGTTCCCATAGGTGTTCCAATAGTCTGTTGGAAGATCTTGCCACCAAACTCATCGAAGATGCTGTCAACCAGAAATTCGATCATTTTTATGATTTAGTCATCCGTATATTTCTTTGATTTGGACGTAATTTAGTTCGTAATACCGTTTCAGCCATGATAGTTCACAACCATATATTTATACCGCCGTTCACAATTCTTGTAGAGGAAAGCTCTCATAACTAGAGAACGAAGGTGTTCTTTCAGTTAAGAATGAGGTATGGTGGTTTACAGGGTGGAAAAATTTCAAATGTTCTTTTAGAAGAAATATAACATCACCAAACACCATCTTAGTAGCATGTAGTCACATTTTGAAAATGTCTGCTTTGAGAGATATGCTTAGGGGATCATACGTTAACATACTATTATTTTTGCAAGTTAAAGTAATGATACTGACTTGGCACAGCATGTTGAAGCATTTTATAAAAAGGAAAATATGATCGTATGTACGTGTGGGAAAAAAATGTTTAAATTGGTATCAAACACTGTTTATATAGAGCGTAAGGGTTTACGCACTTGTCTCACACTAACGGTAATATAACAACTGTATTAGTCAGGTTAGTTGGGAGTATCACAAACTGAAAGTAGCCGGTGGAAGCAACAAGTTGGTGATTTGTGACTGTTTTCTTCGTTTATTACGTCGTAAAAGACATATTATTTTTCATAAACACGGTTGTTTGTGTTACGTGTGTAAGTATTGAATAACTGTCAAATAGTTTGTTAGGTCGCATATATAGCACATTTCGTCTAAAACGCATCGATTGTCAAACTTCCGTATTCATTTCGACGAAAAAGTTGTTTGCCGGCAATGAAGCTTACATGGCCTTGACCATAGAGGTCTCGTGACTATGACATAACGCGTGTGCTATGTTAATGTTTTTGAAATGGCAAACGCAAAACAGTCCCGTAAGGCTTACGTTAGCTACCTTTACTGCCGTGTAATATTTGTCATTTGATTTATAGGGATACCTGAGGCATAGTCTCATGGTGACCTATTGCGATATCCCCAGGTGTCGTATGTACATGAACAATTTCAACTTATCAAAAATCTCTGAACTGATTACAATGAAATTTTGCAGAAACCTTCCCTGGCCAAAGATGAACAAAAACATTGCATGATGCAGGGACCTGGGGGCAGGCCAAAATGTGTTAGATTGACCCAAATTTCAAAAATGTTCTTCTCCACACCCAGATATGGTAGAATCAAATACTCCTCATGGATAGAAACATCTTAGGGTGCTTTACAAAACTTGTAAATTTCATGGCCCTAGGGTCTCACTTTTTCCCCAGTTGGGATTGGTTAAGTTTATACTATAGAAAATATAATATTTCAAACTTGGTTCGAATTATGAGGAAAGGATGATGGCTGATGGATGGGCCCAAAAGAGGTCAAACTGACTTAAATTTCAAAAAACTTTTTCTAAACACCAGGTATGGTAGAATCGAATGTTCTTCATGGATGGTGCTTTAATTACCAAAATGGCTCTCTATTTCTTCCTGAGGAGGAGGTTAAATTTACTGGATTTTTTATGGAAAAAAAATGGATTTCTGTGCAGAATGTTTTTTATTTCCCACTGAAAATAGCTTTATAAGAATTATCAGTATAGGATGACAGTTTTGATGGTATGCATGTATTGACACTGGCTTGATATAATCAATCCCACAATGACTTTCTCATGACACATGAAAGCTACTTACCCTTTAACCTTTACAATATTGGTTCTCTAAGGTGTTGATAATGATTTGTCTCTGGCTTCAGCACTATGCAGGCACGGATGATTTGGATATTGGTCACAGGTTTCCTGGCTGTGGTTAGCATGTCTGAATCAGGTAGGTGTTGTGAGAAGCAAGACAATATGGTATTTTGTTTATAAGAATTTCAGCCAGAAAGAAACCATATTTAATTATGTGTTTCTAAATTTCATTGATTTCTAATTGATTATTTCTGTAATCAACTCTATCACAGTTTTTTTATGTAATTGAAAGGATGAGGATAATATTATCAATGGTCACACTTCACTGCTTTTGTAACATCTCATGATTGAAACAACAAATATGGTTGATATTAATTATTCATCATTTGTTGACTATGAGACAGTTTCTTTCTGTTGTGTGCATTATCATGCATTTCTTTCAGCTTTTTTGGACATCTGTGGAGGTCAGTTCAATACCAGCATGCAAACACCTATCCATGTGAACTTCTCTGACATCACAAATCAGACATGTGTGTGGTACCTAAAGCGTGACAACAACAAGACTACAAACCTCTTGATTAGTATCACACAATTCACTTCTAACAGTTCCATCACTGTCTACTCTGGCAAATACCAGGCCAACACAACAGAGGCTAGGGTCATCAAGACTTACATGGCTGGTGATACAGGTAAGGCTGGTGATACAGGTAAGGCTGGTGATACAGGTAAGGCTGGTGATACAGGTAAGGCTGTATCACACAGGTAAGGCTGGTGATACAGGTAAGGCTGGTGATACAGGTAAGGCTGGTGATACAGGTAAGGCTGGTGATACAGGTAAGGCTGGTGATACAGGTAAGGCTGATGATACAGGTAAGGCTGGTGATACAGGTAAGGCTGATGATACAGGTAAGGCTGGTGATACAGGTAAGGCTGGTGATACAGGTAAGGCCGGTGATACAGGTAAGGCTGGTGACACAGGTAAGGCTGGTGATACAGGTAAGGCTGGTGATACAGGTAAGGCTGGTGATACAGGTAAGGCTGATGATACAGGTAAGGCTGGTGATACAGGTAAGGCTGGTGACACAGGTAAGGCTGGTGATACAGGTAAGGCTGGTGATACAGGTAAGGCTGTATCACACAGGTAAGGCTGGTGATACAGGTAAGGCTGATGATACAGGTAAGGCTGATGATACAGGTAAGGCTGGTGATACAGGTAAGGCTGGTGATACAGGTAAGGCTGATGATACAGGTAAGACTGTATCACACAGGTAAGGCTGATGATACAGGTAAGGCTGGTGATACAGGTAAGGCTGGTGATACAGGTAAGGCTGGTGATACAGGTAAGGCTGGTGATACAGGTAAGGCTGGTGACACAGGTAAGGCTGGTGACACAGGTAAGGCTGGTGACACAGGTAAGGCTGGTGACACAGGTAAGGCTGGTGACACAGGTAAGGCTGGTGACACAGGTAAGGATGGTGACACAGGTAAGGCTGGTGACACAGGTAAGGCTGGTGACACAGGTAAGGCTGGTGATACAGGTAAGGCTGGTGACACAGGTAAGGCTGGTGACACAGGTAAGGCTGGTGACACAGGTAAGGCCAATGATACAGGTAAGGCTGGTGACACAGGTAAGGCCAATGATACAGGTAAGGCTGGTGATACAGGTAAGGCCAATGATACAGGTAAGGCTGGTGACACAGGTAAGGCTGGTGATACAGGTAAGGCTGGTGACACAGGTAAGGCTGGTGATACAGGTAAGGCTGGTGACACAGGTAAGGCCAATGATACAGGTAAGGCTGGTGACACAGGTAAGGCCAATGATACAGGTAAGGCTGGTGACACAGGTAAGGCTGGTGATACAGGTAAGGCTGGTGACACAGGTAAGGCTGGTGATACAGGTAAGGCTGGTGACACAGGTAAGGCTGGTGATACAGGTAAGGCTGTATCACACAGGTAAGGCTGATGATACAGGTAAGGCTGATGATACAGGTAAGGCTGATGATACAGGTAAGGCTGTATCACACAGGTAAGGCTGATGATACAGGTAAGGCTGTATCACACAGGTAAGGCTGGTGATACAGGTAAGGCTGTATCACACAGGTAAGGCTGATGATACAGGTAAGGCTGATGATACAGGTAAGACTGATGATACAGGTAAGGCTGATGATACAGGTAAGGCCAGTGATACAGGTAAGGCTGATGATACAGGTAAGGCTGATGATACAGGTAAGGCTGTATCAAACAGGTAAGGCCGGTGATACAGGTAAGGCTGATGATACAGGTAAGGCTGGTGATACAGGTAAGGCCAGTGATACAGGTAAGGCTGATGATAAAGGTAAGGCTGGTGATACAGGTAAGGCCGGTGATACAGGTAAGGCTGATGATACAGGTAAGGCTGTATCACACAGGTAAGGCTGGTGATACAGGTAAGGCTGGTGACTCAGGTAAGGCTGGTGACACAGGTAAGGATGGTGATACAGGTAAGGCTGGTGACACAGGTAAGGCTGATGACACAGGTAAGGCTGATGATACAGGTAAGGCCGGTGATACAGGTAAGGCCGGTGACACAGGTAAGGCCGGTGACACAGGTAAGGCCGGTGATACAGGTAAGGCCGGTGATATAGGTAAGGCTTGTGACACAGGTAAGGCTGGTGACACAGGTAAGGCTGGTGACACAGGTAAGGCTGGTGACACAGGTAAGGATGGTGATACAGGTAAGGCTGGTGATACAGGTAAGGCTTGTGACACAGGTAAGGCTGGTGACACAGGTAAGGCTGGTGATACAGGTAAGGCTGGTGACATAGGTAAGGCTGGTGACACAGGTAAGGCTGTATCACACAGGTAAGGCTGGTGATACAGGTAAGGCTGATGATACAGGTAAGGCTTGTGATACAGGTAAGGATGGTGATACGTAAGGCTGATGACACAGGTAAGGCTGATGATACAGGTAAGGCTGGTGATCTAGGTAAGGCCGATGATACAGGTAAGGCTGGTGACACAGGTAAGGCTGTATCACACAGGTAAGGCTGGTGATACAGGTAAGGCTGATGATACAGGTAAGGCTGCTGACACAGGTAAGGCTTGTGATACAGGTAAGGCTGATGATACAGGTAAGGCTGGTGACACAGGTAAGGATGGTGATACAGTTTAGGCTGGTGACATAGGTAAGGCTGGTGACACAGGTGAGGCTGATGACACAGGTAAGGCTGGTGACACAGGTAAGGCTGTATCACAGAGGTAAGGCTGGTGATACAGGTAAGGCCGGTGATACAGGTAAGGCTGGTGACACAGGTAAGGCTGTACCACACAGGTAAGGCTGGTGATACAGGTAAGGCTGATGATACAGGTAAGGCTGGTGACACAGGTAAGGATGGTGATACAGTTTAGGCTGGTGACATAGGTAAGGCTGGTGACACAGGTGAGGCTGATGACACAGGTAAGGCTTGTGACACAGGTAAGGCTGTATCACAGAGGTAAGGCTGGTGATACAGGTAAGGCTTGTGATACAGGTAAGGCTGATGATACAGGTAAGGCTGGTGACACAGGTAAGGATGGTGACACAGGTAAGGCTGGTGACACAGGTAAGGCTGGTGATACAGGTAAGGCTGGTGACACAGGTAAGGCTGGTGACACAGGTAAGGCTGGTGACATAGTTAAGGCTGGTGACATAGGTAAGACTGGGGACACAGGTAAGGCTGATGACACAGGTTAGGCTGATGACTCAGGTAAGAATATTAACAATATTGCCACCAGTTTTGACTGAAGACTACATTGGATAAAATATGTCTCCATTTTTAAAGAAAAACATTTAAAAGGTGATTAATGTTTTATTGTTTTATAACCTTTTGGTGGAGTGAGTTTGTATTTCTGTTTCGTGTTTATCATTATTTATTAAGTTATTGATATTGAAGATTTGATATACATATCTGACTTTCATTTACAGTGTCCAAGGAACTATTGATCTCTACAAACAAAATGACATCTATTGTCTTCCACAATAAAAATTCTACCCAAGGATCCTTCCAAATCACCTACAACGGAGACGGTATGTTATATCTTATATCAAATATGTTCATGTGATATACTGTAGATAGTCACATGGGACTCATGACAGTTTACAGGGTTATATGACCATAGAGATAGTTGTGTGATGGAGATGGTCACAAGACACTCATAACACATGTGTACTATCACACTCATAGCCATGTGACAGATGTGTACTATCACACTCATAGTCATGTGACAGATGTATGCTATCACCCTCATAGCCATGTGACAGATTTATACTATCACCCTCATAGCCATGTGACAGATGTGTACTATCACACTCATAGTCATGTGACAGGTGTATGCTATCACCCTTATTGCCATGTGACAGATGTGTACTATCACACTCATAGTCATATGACATATGTATACTATCACCCTCATAGCCATGTGACAGATGTATACCATCACCCTCATAGCCATGTGACAGATGTATACTATCACCCTCATAGCCATGTGACAGGTGTATACTGTCACCCTCATAGCCATCTGACATGTATATTATCACCCTCATAGCCATCTGACATGTATACTATCACCCTCATAGCCATGTGACAGATGTATACTGTCACCCTCATAGCCATGTGACAGGTGTATACTATCACCCTCATAGCCCTGTGACAGATGTATACCATCACCCTCATAGCCATGTGACAGATGTATACTATCACCCTCATAGCCATGTGACAGGTGTATACTGTCACCCTCATAGCCATCTGACATGTATATTATCACCCTCATAGCCATCTGACATGTATACTATCACCCTCATAGTCACGTGACAGATGTATACTATCACCCTAATAGCCATGTGACAGATGTATACTATCACCCTCATAGTCATGTGACAGGTGTATACTATCACCCTCATAGTCACGTGACAGATGTATACTATCACCCTCATAGTCACGTGACAGATGTATACTTTCACCCTCATAGTCACGTGACAGATGTATACTTTCACCCTCATAGTCACGTGACAGATGTATACTGTCACCCTCATAGTCACGTGACAGAGGTATACTATCACCCTCATAATCACGTGACAGATGTATACTGTCACCCACATAGTCACGTGACAGATGTATACCTTCACCCTCATAGTCACGTGACAGATGTATACCTTCACCCTCATAGTCACGTGACAGATGTATACTATCACTCTCATAGTCACGTGACAGATGTATACTTTCACCCTCATAGTCACGTGACAGATATATACTTTCACCCTCATAGCCATGTGACAGGTGTATACTGTCACCCTCATAGCCATCTGACATGTATACTATCAACCTCATAGTCATGTGACAGGTGTATACTATCACCCTCATAGTCACGTGACAGATGTATACTATCACCCTCATAGTCACGTGACAGATGTATACTATCACCCTTATAGTCACGTGACAGACGTATACTATCACCCTCATAGTCACGTGACAGACGTATACTTTCACCCTCATAGTCACGTGACAGACGTATACTTTCACCCTCATAGTCACGTGACAGACGTATACTTTCACCCTCATAGTCACGTGACAGACGTATACTTTCACCCTCATAGTCACGTGACAGACGTATACTATCACCCTCATAGTCAGGTGACAGACGTATACTATCACCCTCATAGTCACGTGACAGACGTATACTTTCACCCTCATAGTCACGTGACAGACGTATACTTTCACCCTCATAGTCACGTGACAGACGTACACTTTCACCCTCATAGTCACGTGACAGACGTACACTTTCACCCTCATAGTCACGTGACAGATGTATACCTTCACCCTCATAGTCACGTGACAGATGTATACCTTCACCCTCGTAGTCACGTGACAGATGTATACCTTCACCCTCATAGTCACGTGACAGATGTATACCTTCACCCTCATAGTCACGTGACAGATGTATACCTTCACCCTCATAGTCACGTGACAGATGTATACCATCACCCTCATAGTCACGTGACAGATGTATACCTTCACCCATCACCCTCATAGTCACGTGACAGATGTATACCTTCACCCTCATAGCCACGTGACAGATGTGTACCTTCACCCTCATAGCCACGTGACAGATGTGTACCTTCACCCTCATAGCCACGTGACAGATGTATACCTTCACCCTCATAGTCACGTGAAAGATGTGTACCTTCACCCTCATAGCCACGTGACAGATGTGTACCTTCACCCTCATAGTCACGTGAAAGATGTGTACCTTCACCCTCATAGCCACGTGACAGATGTGTACCTTCACCCTCATAGTCACGTGAAAGATGTGTACCTTCACCCTCATAGTCACGTGACAGATGTGTACCTTCACCCTCATAGTCACGTGACAGATGTATACCTTCACCCTCATAGTCACGTGACAGATGTGTACCTTCACCCTCATAGTCACGTGACAGATGTATACCTTCACCCTCATAGTCACGTGACAGATGTATACCTTCACCCTCATAGTCACGTGACAGATGTATACCTTCACCCTCATAGTCACGTGACAGATGTATACCTTCACCCTCATAGTCACGTGACAGATGTATACCTTCACCCTCATAGTCACGTGACAGATGTATACCTTCACCCTCATAGTCACGTGACAGATGTATACTTTCACCCTCATAGTCACGTGACAGATGTATACTTTCACCCTCATAGTCACGTGACAGATGTATACTTTCACCCTCATAGTCACGTGACAGATGTATACTTTCACCCTCATAGTCACGTGACAGATGTATACTTTCACCCTCATAGTCACGTGACAGATGTATACCTTCACCCTCATAGTCACGTGACAGATGTATACTTTCACCCTCATAGTCACGTGACAGATGTATACTTTCACCCTCATAGTCACGTGACAGATGTATACTTTCACCCTCATAGTCACGTGACAGATGTATACTTTCACCCTCATAGTCACGTGACAGATGTATACCTTCACCCTCATAGTCACGTGACAGATGTATACCTTCACCCTCATAGTCACGTGACAGATGTATACCTTCACCCTCATAGTCACGTGACAGATGTATACCTTCACCCTCATAGTCACGTGACAGATGTATACCTTCACCCTCATAGTCACGTGACAGATGTATACTTTCACCCTCATAGTCACGTGACAGATGTATACTTTCACCCTCATAGTCACGTGACAGATGTATACCTTCACCCTCATAGTCACGTGACAGATGTGTACCTTCACCCTCATAGTCACGTGACAGATGTGTACCTTCACCCTCATAGTCACGTGACAGATGTGTACTTTCACCCTCATAGTCACGTGACAGATGTATACTTTCACCCTCATAGTCACGTGACAGATGTATACCTTCACCCTCATAGTCACGTGACAGATGTATACCTTCACCCTCATAGTCACGTGACAGATGTATACCTTCACCCTCATAGTCACGTGACAGATGTATACCTTCACCCTCATAGTCACGTGACAGATGTATACCTTCACCCTCATAGTCACGTGACAGATGTATACTTTCACCCTCATAGTCACGTGACAGATGTATACTTTCACCCTCATAGTCACGTGACAGATGTATACCTTCACCCTCATAGTCACGTGACAGATGTATACCTTCACCCTCATAGTCACGTGACAGATGTGTACCTTCACCCTCATAGTCACGTGACAGATGTGTACCTTCACCCTCATAGTCACATGACAGATGTGTACTTTCACCCTCATAGTCACGTGACAGATGTATACCTTCACCCTCATAGTCACGTGACAGATGTATACCTTCACCCTCATAGTCACGTGACAGATGTATACCTTCACCCTCATAGTCACGTGACAGATGTATACTTTCACCCTCATAGTCACGTGACAGATGTATACTGTCACCCACATAGTCACATGACAGATGTATACTGTCACCCACATAGTCACATGACAGATGTATACTTTCACCCTCATAGTCACGTGACAGATGTATACTTTCACCCTCATAGCCTCTGATGTGTATATTATCACCCTTATTGTCATATGATGATAAGTCACCTCAATAACCATTTGTTCATATAAAAGTATACTTCTATAGCTGTCTGATCTTTATTACATGTTGCAGACTGTACCAATGTTGTGGATTGGACAAAACCGATTGTCTCCCCTGTTTACTTGCCTTTGACTGGACCTGTGGCATGTGACTATCAAGTGACCTTGCCTGCTGATGACAGGAATTCTGTTATGTCATTTACAGACTTCAGCTTAGTGGCAGGTTCTCTCGTGGTAAAGAATGGCAATACCAATCGGACCATGAAAGGTACAGTATAAACATGATGATAATGAGTCGTGTTCTGTCAAGTACTACTTCTGTTGAGCTGCAGGTTTTTGTTTTGTATTAACAGGCAGTAATATACCTGATGACATTCTACTTGGTACCAATGGAAACCTGACCCTCACCTTAACCTTGCAAAATAACTCAGCACAGCAGCAGTTCAAGGCCTTTCTGACGGGTGTAGATCCTGGTATGTGTAAATTATGTTGACTGTCTGTTTTACTTTTACTATATAAATGTGTGTTGAAATGTGCAGGTATCCCTTTCAGTGATGTAATATTGCAGTCTGTGGTGTGATGAAATCTGCAGGTATCCCTTTCAGTGATGTAATATTGCAGTCTGTGGTGTGATGAAATGTACAGTTATCCCTTTCAGTGATGTAATATTGCAGTCTGTGGTGTGATGAAATGTACAGTTATCCCTTTCAGTGATGAAATATTGCAGTCTGTGGTGTGATGAAATGTACAGTTATCCCTTTCAGTGATGTAATATCGCAGTCTGTGGTGTGATGAAATCTGCAGGTATCCCTTTCAGTGATGTAATATTGCAGTCTGTGGTGTGATGAAATGTACAGTTATCCCTTTCAGTGATGTAATATCGCAATCTGTCGTGTGATGAAATCTGCAGGTATCCCTTTCAGTGATGAAATATTGCAGTCTGTGGTGTGATGAAATGTACAGTTATCCCTTTCAGTGATGTAATATCGCAGTCTGTGGTGTGTTGAAATCTGCAGGTATCCCTTTCAGTGATGTAATATTGCAGTCTGTGGTGTGATGAAATGTTCAGTTATCCCATTCAGTGATGTAATATTGCAGTCTTCTCTTTGAAATGTACAGGCATTCCTTTTCACTCCTTTTCACTCCTTTTTACAGCCTGCACCAGACAGATAGAAGTCAATAGCAGCCTGCCTGTTCAGTTCTCCCTTCCATCCACACCAAACCTTCCACTGGATTGTCTTGTCATTGTAACAGCTCTAGAGAACACAACACTGGTAACCATGGTGAATGACTTAGTACTGCCAGAGGGAGGAAACTCTGTCATACTACGTGATGGTGGCAGTCAAAGCTCCCCACTAATTTCTACTCTTCTCTCCAGCAGCCAGAATGGTAAAAATTAAAGTTTAAATTAAGATTTTGAAAAGTCATAGCTATATGTGATCTTCAGATCTTTTGAAATATGAGATAATGCTTCTGATTGTGAGAGTATTGCATTTCTATTAGGTGAAAAAGATTTTGAATCTTTGTTATATTTTGAATTACATGTAAATGGAATATCAAGCTATTTTTCGCTACAAAAGAATTTTAGGGGGATTATATGCATGTAGTCACCACCTCCTCTGTCCATCCATTCATGTCCAGAACTTATCAAACAAGGAACATGAATCTGATTATACACATCTTTCATATTAAGACAATGTGCAGTGTACCAAATGCGGGGTAAACTAATTACAGAGTTATTGTCCTTTGTTGAAATTTCATGTTCAGAGAATAATTTACCTGCATTTGGTATATATAAATTGGTTATTAAACAATGTGCAATGTACTAAATTCAAGGCAAATTTTGTGTCTGAAGCATAACTTTGCCATCATCTAAACTAGGATCATGATACTTAGTCTGTATGTACACTGTAGGTCATTCTAAGAGGATATGCAGTGTACCTATTTCAGAGCTTGAAATCACTTGAAATTACGGAATTACTGCCCCCTGTTGAAACTTTGTGTCCAATAAAGCTGTTTTTTGGAGAGAATTCAACAGTTTTGTATATAAGTTCTATTCAATTGTTGCTTCACCTTAGTTTTAAGAAAAATGGCCAACAGACAGCCTTTTTGGATTTTGACCTGTGATATTACTATTCCCTTTCATTACTGCAAGGATTTCAGATTTTATAAAACACTTTTTATCATTAATGTTAGTGTTGGTAGTGTTTGTTCTTACTTAAATATGAAGACTTATTTCAGAAGACTCCAAACATTTCCACTCACTGAGTTTGATGATGCTGCATGTATAATGTCTATCATATCTTTACATAGACATTCTTCTATTAACATAATGACAGTATATCAGTCTGCTGATAACATACTCCTATCCTGCAGGTCAGCTGATCGTAACTAGTGGCAACAAGCTGTTGATACAGATCAGACTGGAAAAGTCTCTGGATGATAGTGTTGTGAATTTAAATTTCAAGCAACAAGGTAAGACCAGGTGCTACTGCATGTCATTTTAGTATCAGGTACATGACTAATTAGAGAAATTACCTGTTGTAATACAAGGGTAGATAACTCTACATTTCTAAATAGAGAAATGACCTGTAATACAAGGGTAGATAACTCTACATTTCTAATGAGTGAAATTACCTTTATTACAAAGGTAGATATCTCAATGTTACTAATTAGAGAAATGGCCTGTATTACAAGGGTAGATATCTCAATGTTACTAATTAACTGTATTACAAGGGTAGATATCTCAATGTTACTAATTAGAGAAATGACCTGTATTACAAGGGTAGATATCTCAATGTTACTAATTAAAGAAATGACCTGTATTACAAGGGTAGATATCTCAATGTTACTAATTAGAGAAATGGCCTGTATTACAAGGGTAGATATCTCAATGTTACTAATTAAAGAAATGACCTGTATTACAAGGGTAGATATCTCAATGTTACTAATTAGAAAAAAGGACATGTAATACCAGGGTATGTTACTCTACATTTCCGCATATCTAATTAGAGAAAGGGTTAACAATACTAGGGTAGACAACTCTATATCTAATTAGAGAAAGGTTTAACAATATCATGGTAGACAATTCTACATATCTAATTAGAGAAAGGTTTAACAATATTAGGGTAGACAATTCTACATATCTAATTAGAGAAAGGTTTAACAATATTAGGGTAGACAACTCTATATCTAATTAGAGAAAGGTTTAACAATATCATGGTAGACAATTCTACATATCTAATTAGAGAAAGGTTTAACAATATTAGGGTAGACAACTCTATATCTAATTAGAGAAAGGTTTAACAATATCATGGTAGACAATTCTACATATCTAATTAGAGAAAGGTTTAACAATATTAGGGTAGACAATTCTACATATCTAATTAGAGAAAGGTTTAACAATATTAGGGTAGACAATTCTACATAACTAATTAGAGAAAGGTTTAACAATATTAGGGTAGACAATTCTACATATCTAATTAGAGAAAGGTTTAACAATATTAGGGTAGACAATTCTACATATCTAATTAGAGAAAGGTTTAACAATATTAGGGTAGACAATTCTACATAACTAATTAGAGAAAGGTTTAACAATATTAGGGTAGACAATTCTACATATCTAATTAGAGAAAGGTTTAACAATATTAGGGTAGACAATTCTACATATCTAATTAGAGAAAGGTTTAACAATATTAGGGTAGACAATTCTACATAACTAATTAGAGAAAGGTTTAACAATATTAGGGTAGACAACATTTTATTAGATATGTATCTGGATGTTAAACATTAAGGTAAGAAAGAGATGACTCTACAATTCAAACCAGCTTCCAATACATATATAATTGTGACAGGTAGAACAAGTATGGGCATTCAACCAATATTAGTACATTTTCCATCATTTTTATTTTTTTTTTAAATGTGTGAACATTGTAAAGATTGGAATCTGTATCAAGCAGAACATAACCCATAAAAGAACCTAGAAATTATTTCTGTTCCTTATGTGAAGTATTTTCTTGGTAGTTCTATACACGTACCTAAACATACTTCATTTGTGCTAAGTCACTACAACAGAAATGAAATCGTAGTTCTGATAGAATAACATCCTTGGTTGTGCTTTTCACTCAGTTTCAAAAGAATCTTCCAATGGTAATCAGGCTAATTGGATTTACTACCGTCATGTATTGTTTCTACCGCTTACTGGGTTATCTCCCTTTATGTGGCAGGAGGGGGAGCTGGACGTTACAGTGGCAGTGGCAACCTGACTTTAGATGCCTCTCACTTCCAGGGCAATGCCTCGGTATACTTCCTAGTCACAGTACCTGATGGCAGGGTGAGTGTTTACCGCTTGGTACTTTATCCAAGTTGGGTTGACAGTGTACGACAGGTCACATGATGTGCAGTGAGCAGACCCAACCTTTAAAATGTCCCTCTTTGTCCATGGGACAAGAAATCCAGTGAAGAAACAAAACCACAATGAAAACAGACAGCAAAACAAGGAAGTTTTATTGAGGAACAGACTTAGCACTAGGAAATAAATTCTGAAAACTTTTTCTGATAAAACTTCACAAGCTTACAAGCATATCTCTGGTATGAGACTTTATCTGATAAATAATCTCCTATTTTACATTTTTATACAGGCTGTGAATATGGCAAGTTAGGAAAACGATCTATCTTGAATGATCACATTATCAAAACAATTAAGCATCATGACCACATTTAACAGAAAACACTTTGTTTTTAGAATGGACACTATATTGACAACTAACTTCAATGTTTATGAAAAAGACACATAGTGAAGACACTTTATAGAGAGGACACTATATGGACAACTAACTTCAATGTTTATGAAAAAGACACATAGTGAAGACACTTTATAGAGAGGACACTATATGGACAAGTTACTACAATGTTTAAGAAAAGACACTAACATAGTGAAGACAATATATTGAAAAGTAGCTTTATGTAGAAAATACAAGGGCACTACATTTGCAGGGTGTTATATGGAACAGGCACTATGTATCAAGGGCATTACCCAACATTGAATTACAGCACTAATCTTTTACATCAGTTACTATCAATAGATTAATTAATTGACCATAAAAATTTTCTTCACAAAATTTACCCTCACTTCCTTCCTGTCCATATCAGAAACAGTCATCTTATAAAAAGCATACGATAATAATATATAAATACATACTGTATGATAAAAAAAGCCAGCCTGACAAAATAATATATATGTCAAACAGACTGTCAATAGTATATATATCTATTGCATGCATCCTGTCAGTAGCAAAAATATTAATATTCAGACATAGTCAGGGCAGGAGAATGGTGGAAATGCATGAGACATATAGTCAGTGCACAAGAATTGTAGATGCATGAGACATATAGTCAGTGCACAAGAATTGTAGATGCATGAGACATATAGTCAGTGCACAAGAATGGTGATCTATTATAGCCCAAATGTCCAAATATAAAATCAATTCTTAAGAATAGTAAAGGATCCTGATAGTTATGGCTCATGCATGGAATAACTCAAGGTTCTGAAACACTTGGTGGAGATAGTGAATGGTCTAAGGCCCTCAACCATTGCTCAAAAATTAGTCCCCAGCACTGGTTTGAAATCACACAAATCTGTTTTCCTGAAATGACACCAAGGAACTGTCTAGAGATGGCAGCACCTCCATCTCCTCAAACTCGTCATCATCACTGTCTGTGCCGCTGTCATTGTCTGTGCCACTGTACAGGCGATGCGTTGCCAAGGAAATGATGCTGTTGATGGTTTGGGGGATGTAGACACCATTGAATATGGTAAAGATGACTTGCTGGATGGTGACCCACTTGACATGACGGTACTCTTCATAGGCATCACGCATCCACTCATAAATACTGATACGCTCCTCCAGACGCTTACGAATCTGGGAGCAAACTGGAGAGGCAGAGGTCCGACGATGGCGGCAGATACATTCTCGGATACGACAATCTGGAAAGACCTCTGTCATTAGTTGATGTTTGATAAGACTATGATACATTACTGATTGCACTAGATCATGCAGTATTTTACCACATTTTGAAACAATCTTATAGTGTACTTTTATTACTCTTGTTGGAACGGATTTAAGAACAACAAGAGGTGATACTGTGGTAGTACCTTGGGAAGACCCACGTTGTCAGACATTTGACCAAATACATGTTCACATTCAATCAAGGAATTGACCTGAAATCACCGACTTGAGAGGTATTACCACTGCACTTACCACCATACTGTGTAATCATCGATACTTGTTGTTTTCATTATTTTTTCATTATTTCTAAAAAGCATCAGCAAATACCAACTCTCCAGTGTTAAAGGTCAGACTCCAGTGTTAAAGGTCAGACTCCAGGGTTATAGGTCAAATGAAACTTAAAATTCCATGGTATTTGTGGAATAGCATACATGTACATCTACACTATCCGACAAAACCTTACTCTAAACCATCCAACCAAACCTTACTCTACACCATCCCACCAAACCTTACTCTACACCATCCCACCAAACCTTACCCTACACCATCCCACCAAACCTTACTCTACACCATCCCACCAAATCTGTCTCTACACCATCCCACCAAACCTTACTCTACACCATCCCACCAAATCTTACTCTACACCACCTTACTCTACACCATCTCGCCAAACCTAACTCTACACCATCCCACCAAACCTTACTCTACACCATCTCCCCAAACCTTACTCTACACCATCTCCCCACACCTTACTCTACACCATCTCCCCACACCTAACTCTACACCATCCCACCAAATCTTACTCTACACCACCTTACTCTACACCATCCCACCAAACCTTACTCTACACCATCCCACCAAACCTTACTCTACACCATCTCCCCACACCTTACTCTACACCATCTCCCCACACCTAACTCTACACCATCCCACCAAATCTTACTCTACACCACCTTACTCTACACCATCCCACCAAACCTTACTCTACACCATCCCACCAAACCTTACTCTACACCATCCCACCAAACCTTACTCTACACCATCCCACCAAACTTTACTCTACATCATCTCCTCACACCTTACTCTACACCATCCCTCCAAACCTTAGTCTATACCATCTCCCCACACCTTACTCTATACCATCCCACCAAACTTTACTCTACACCATCCCACCAAACCTTACTCTACACTCTCCCACCAAACCTTACTTTACTCCATCTCACCAAACCTTACTCTACACCACCTTACTCTACACCATCCCACCAAACCTTACTCTACACCATCCCACCAAACCTTACTCTACACCATCCCACCAAACCTTACCCTACACCATTTCACCACACCTTACTCTACACCATCCCACCAAACCTTACTCTACACTCTCCCACCAAACCTTACTTTACTCCATCTCACCAAACCTTACTCTACACCACCTTACTCTACACTATCCCACCAAACCTTACTCTACACCATCCCACCAAACCTTACTCTACACCATCCAACCAAACCTTACTCTACACCATTTCACCAAACCTTACTCTACACCATCCCACCAAATCTTACTCTACACCATCTCCCCAAACCTTAGTCTACACCATCCCAGCAAACCTTACTCTACACTCTCCCACCAAACCTTACTTTACACCATCCCACCAAACCTTACTCTACACCATCTCACCAAACCTTACTCTACACCATTTCCCCACACCTTTACTCTACACATTCTCCCCACACCCTTTCTCTACACCCATCTCCCTAAACCTTACGTGACACCCCACACCTTACTTAACACCATCTCCTCACACCCTTACTCTACACATTCTCCAAATTCATTATGTCATCCATACAGACAAATAATAATATAGCCACAATAATGCTAAGATTGATAATTTTGTTTTAACTGACAAACTATTGGGAGAGTGTCTTTGGAAGGGAGATAACTTACCCAGTAAGTTGATTTGATGTGTGGCTTTGTCATGACAAGACATCAGCTCCCGAAGTTTCTGTGCGATAACATAAACTTCCATCTGGCTACTAGGCTTGGAGGGGATGTACATGGCCATTGATGACAGTGTTAAAGAAGATAATCAGACTTTGTAGTACTGTTTAGCACAGGATGCTCAGTTGTGTTTGTACTTGAGAGAGTAATTTTATAAGCTGTTACCTGAGGAAATTGTGTCAGAGATACTAAGTAGAAAGTGTGTGCAGATATAAGATATACTTCTCAGATTAATTAGTACAAAAACACTTTTACTTTTAATTGCTATGTGTGACAGCTGGGGGAGGGATTGGGTCCCTAAGGGTGGGCTCAGATGTACATAAAGGTCCCTCTGGTCAACACTGGACAAATGTAATTAAATTGTTGGGTATACCTCCATTACTGGTGGTCATTAGTAGATGTGTTTCGTTGAATCTATAATCACACGGTAGTGACCAGTCCAGTCAACTGTAACAACACAGACACAAGTAGAACCAACAAAAATCATCAACCAGGTGTAATTAGTTGTAGATAATTACCTGTACAGGTGAGTTAGTCCTTAGAGCTATTATAGAATACCAACATGGTAACGATCACACACACCTTGGCTTCATCAAACACAAGCTAAAATCAGTACTAAGTGTTACATAAGACACGGCCGTCCATTGAATTGTTGTTTTTCTATATCAAGTTTTCATACAAGGAAACAAAAAATACATTATTGTATTGACAACCTTGGAAAAATATTGTTATTCTATATAGATTTTTTTTAACTATGAAAAACTAAGAAATATTTGGTACATAATGGTTCCAACATCTTTTGTACCAATAACAGAATTAAAGTGCCCTTTTCAGTTATATGTTATATATTTGTGTAACACTGGTAATTACTAGCTGTGTCATATACACCTTACAGCTTTGTACAACCTTATCAGCTGAGGTACCTTGTAAAAGCATTGAAATAACAACATCTGTGTTGTATTGGCATGTATATGTGGACTTTAGAACATTTGATATTTACTCATTTGAAGAAATTCAATTTCTACAATTTTATTGTATTCATGTATTATAAACTGGCCGAGCTGATTGTAATCTTTTCCATTTCTGGTTGTGAAGTTTCAGAACTTTACTAAATACTGAATATGCTTCCAATATTTCCTGAATACTTCTTGTGCATGCATGACCCTAGATTTAAATTGAATCTTCCAGCATCCTCATTGTCTGTAAATACATGTTCATATGTTTGAACTAGGCCTAGCATAACTCATTTTAAACATTGTAAGAACAATTAGGGGAAAACCGTAAAGACAGAATTGGTGATATTTGGCTTTTAAAGAAAAATTTTAGGACTCTAGTCTTCTTAGCTCACTTACATCAATTTTTCTTTTTGAAGGATTTCTTCTAGGTAATGCCTAGGGTACTGATAATGGGTCAGTAGCATGCTGGGTATTAATGGCTTCCAAGTTTGTTCAATTGAATGACCTTGACAAGCTTTCAATGACACAGGTGTGTTAAAATGTTCAAATAACTTTATCAGATCTCATTAACAATTGGAACAAGGGTAGTGATATTTGGTCAGTGGCATGGTTAGATGAAGGGTTACAAAGTTTGTTCAGATAAATGACATTGACCCATTAGGTATAAGGCAAATAGAGATTACTATGAAATACTTCACGGAAGAATTTCGTATTCAGTGAAATTTAGAGCAGGAACAGTGAAAAGAGTGAAGAAGATGCAACTTGATAGGAACTGATGAAGACCATACAATGGTGATCTCATGTTATTGTGAAAAAATATAAGACATCATCCTGATAAAACATGTTTATTTCAAGCACTACAGGATTTAAACATAAATCTATACTACAGGAGCACTACCAGTCAAACCTCAGCAGTCCATTGATGACATGCAGCATATTTTTTCTCTTGAAATATTATCATAAGCAAAAGCTATTCCTTCAATCCTGACTGGTGACAGATTCCCCAGATATGCTGTCAGATGTTTTGAAATATGTTATGTTGCTAGGGACTGGTTCCCGTATTAGTTGCCATGACAAGTCATCTTGGCTGTGGTTACTATAGAAACACAAGTCATCGCTACTGTGGCTTTCATAGGAACAATATTCATCACTGCTGGTGGTTTCTGTAGACACATGTCATTACTGATATGGTTGCTATAGAAACACTAGTCTCTCTTTAAGTGATTTTTCTGGGAAATATAGTCATCCCTGAAGTGGTTTCTATAGAAACACTAATCACCCCTGAAGGGGTTGCTGTGGAGACACTAATCATCCCTGAAGGGGTTGCTGTGGAGACACTAATCATCCCTGAAGTGTTTACTGTGGAGACACTAATCACCCCTGAAGTGGTTACTGTGGAGACACTAATCATCCCTGAAGTGGTTACTGTGGAGACACTAAACATCCCTGAAGTGGTTACTGTGTAGACACTAATCATCCCTGAAGGGGTTGCTGTGGAGACACTAATCATCCCTGAAGTGGTTACTGTGGAGACACTAATCACCCCTGAAGGGGTTGCTGTGGAGAGACTAATCATCCCTGAAGTGGTTACTGTGGAGACACTAATCATCCCTGAAGGGGTTGCTGTGGAGACACTAATCATCCCTGAAGTGGTTACTGTGGAGACACTAATCATCCCTGAAGGGGTTGCTGTGGAGACACTAATCATCCCTGAAGGGGTTGCTTTGGAGACACTAATCATCCCTGAAGTGGTTACTGTGGAGACACTAATCATCCCTGAAGGGGTTGCTTTGGAGACACTAATCATCCCTGAAGTGGTTACTGTGGAGACACTAATCATCCCTGAAGGGGTTGCTTTGGAGACACTAATCATCCCTGAAGGGGTTGCTGTGGAGAGACCAAGCCATCCCTGAGAGGGTTGATGTGGAAACATTAGTCATCCCTGATGGGGTTGCTGTGGAAACACTTGTCATCCCTGATGTGGTTGCTGTGGAGACACTAATCATCCCTGAAGTGGTTACTGTGGAGACACTAATCATCCCTGAAGGGGTTGCTGTGGAGACACTAATCACCCCTGAAGGGGTTGCTGTGGAGAGACCAAGCCATCCCTGAGAGGGTTGATGTGGAAACATTAGTCATCCCTGATGGGGTTGCTGTGGAAACACTTGTCATCCCTGATGTGGTTGCTGTGGAGACACTAGTCATCCCTGAGGGGATTTCTTTGGAAAAACTAGTCATCCCTGATAGGGTTGCTGTGGAAACACTTGTCATCCCTAATGTGGTTGGTTTGGAAACATTAGTCATATCTATAGTAGTTACAATGGACAACAGTGAGTGTCTGAGAGATGATCCTGGTCTGGTCTGTATCTGAGTCGGCGAGGCTGGAGTAATCTGCCAGGGATAGGATCGGTGGAGCCTCACTCTGAAGGGTGTACGTAATGGTTCTCACAAACTGTTGCACTTGGTGCCACTTGCGGAGACGGTAGAGACGATACAAGTACTTGATCCCTAAAGCCACCGCCTTACGTGTGAGGATCCTTAGTGCCTGACCTTTACGTCCTTGTTGTACGTAGATGAGTGCCTGTTGGGTTAGCCGAGTCATGTAGTTTTCTGTAAGACAAAAAAACAATTTTATATCTAACTATATTATCAGACATTTCTACCTAAGTCATGTAAAATGGAAATTTGATTGTGTAGTGAAGGTGTATTTACCTATGAGAGTGATCTGTTTGAGAGAGCGATCATGGTAAAGTAACATAGTGCGGAGTTTCGAGGCTATCGTGAGGATATCACCAGTAGACAGGTCCTCTCTGTCAAACATAAGGGTATTAGTCATGGAAGTCATCCTTGTTAATCAGAAGTTAGATCTAATGTGTTTTATCAGGACAAATCTAGAACAACTGTTGATCCTTTAGGGGTCAGCAGCACTTATGTTGCTCTCCTCCTCCATAGTACAATATATACCTGAAAGCCTCTACTTGTACTCACTTTGATGTGAGGGGATCAAACATCAAGTTGAGAACCTTTGATAGTTTGAACATGAAGTGAGGACCTTTGACCTTTGATCTCCTTCATTAGGGTATACATGTACCTGTTTGTCCTTTGATCTCTTTAATTAGACTTTTGCAGGTAAGAGTCTTAATTGAACTGATTTACCTTGACCAGGTGATAATTATCATAATCACCTTCTTACATTGTGTAGGTAATCATTGTTACAGCTTACCTGTACAGGTAATTAGCCCAGGTCTATGTGTGAGGGTCAGCTATTATAATGATGTAGAAGTCACCAGCAAGATTGTGGCTCAGAACAGGCATACATTTTGTGTAAAATAATTAAATAAATGTATTGATCTTTTTTTTAGAACATTTCATGGTGCACATGTTGATATTTCATGAAATTAAAATTTGGATCAAAAAAGCATATTTTAAAGTCCGTTGCTTTAGATAACAAATACATTTTAATAGTGTTAAATTAGGTTTAGATAATAGAAGAGCTAGTTTGCTGAATGATCAGACTCACATTTTTGAAAAATTCAACTAAGCTCACCATCTGATAGCTCATACCATGTAGTCTACATAATTTCTTGTGTTCAAATGATCAAGATCCAACATGTTAACCGAAAAACATTACAATGGAAAAAAGATCAAGATCCATACCATGCATGAAAAAAGTAACAAAAAAATTATTATTATAATTCTATATCGAATGATTATACATATTACTACCCTTTCATAAGGAAACCTTTGACTGATTATGTTGAAAGATGTCGAATATATTGCGCAATAATCACAGAGCGTTTTGAAAATTAAAATGGGTTTTTCTCAGTTTTCAAAAATTGTGACTCTGATTGTTCTGCAAATGGACTCTTCTTAAAGCTTAAAGTCATATCTATATTGTACACTTCTTATTTCTGACATTTTATACAAAATCTCAGAAGAATTGATGTACAGACAACAGCAGTGTGTCGGTATCTGGTGATGTGTATTTAACTGCTTAGTGTACTGTGTAAAGTCTTATATATTGTAATTATGAAGTAATATGTATATTTCTTGTGATAGATTTTCCTGTATATCATAGCAGTAACTATCAATGTATGGCTTCTTCCTTCATGATAATTCAATTTTACACAGATAAATCAGGGTTTACAAGATGTTTGTTATGTGTTAAGATATCATGTCAATTTCGTTAAATGTGATAAAACACAGGATTAATTATTATATAGGATACCACTGTCCTGTGATATTTCCTGTATAACATTGTATGTTTTCAGTGTGCATTTCATTTTATAAATACAGTGTACCAGATATTCTGGACACTCAGTTTCAAAGTCAGACACTAAAATCAAATTTTAAGTTATCCGTAGGGGTATAGAGCCAACACTGTTCTTTTCGTAGCGTTTCTAGGTTCTGTGGTCACTAGCTCAGATACCTCCAGGTATGCAGGGCGATTGAGAAATAGTGGTAACTAAAGGGTAATATTCAATCGCAACAAGTCCTGGGTACCAGAAGTCCTGAAGAAGTCCACTTGTTCGGGCGAAACCAGTAGATAGATTGTAATAAATATACTCTTCTGGTACCCTGGACCCTTAAATTTTTAATTAGTTTTAATTTGAGCATAAATTCATCAACATTACAGATAGAAGAAAGACTGACAGGTATTGTTAGGCATTAGTACACTAAAGTATACTTGTAATAAACTGGAATGCCATTCGTGCAGATCTGAATCCCAAATCAAAATGGCTTTCAATAAATATGAGATAGCCTATATGGTGATTAATATGATATGATATTGCAGCATCATCAGGTCCGGAAGTTTGTCTCTTAAGTCAATGTTTACACAAGTTCTAACCATACATGATGTTGTTTTAAAAAGTATAGGTCACATCACATTGAAATTAACCCATTGCAAAACATCGAGGTTATCATCTGGTGTATTCATTTGAAAATCTATTTCTATTTCAGGCCAAGGTGACATTTGTAAAGGGAACTCTGAATAAGGCAACACTTGAAGTATATGATGACAGTTCCCCATCCAAAGAGTTAGCAGTGTTCAAGTAAGTAATACACCCTTCAAGTAAGTAATACACCCCTTCAAGTAAGTAATACACCCCTTCAAGGGAGATAACCATGTTCAAGTAAGTATTACACCCCTTCAAGGGAGATAACTGTGTAAGTAAGTAATACACCCCTTCAAGATAGATAACTGTTCAAGTAAGTAATACACCCCTTCAAGGGAGATAACCGTGTTCAAATAAGTAATACACCCCATCAAGGGAGATAACTGTGTTCAAGAAAGTAATACACCCATTAAAGGGAAATAACTATGTTCAAGTTAAATAATAACCCATTCAATGGAGAGATAAAGATCCCAGTGTGATCAATATAATTTAACATGGGTAAATCTAGACTTTTGGGAATACTATACCTATTGTGGAAAAAGGGTGAATTTTTTGCCTTTTTTGAATATTAGAATAATTTCAGACTGGGTTCTGAAGAGGATAGGATTAAAATATGTCATAAATGAAGATCATGAGAATGAAATATGACAAGGTTGAGGTTAGATTGATTTTTTTTTTCATGATGGCTTGATCTGAAAATAAATTAGTGAAATATACGATACTAATTAGCTCTGTTTGGGAAATTTTCCTGTTTTCAGTAATTTTGTTTTGATATGGAATTCGTTTTTATTTAGAGGGGAAATCATATCACTTGGGAAATACTGTCGTTTTCCAGTGGTTGTTCAGATTAATCCATCATTCATGTATGTTTAACTTTCTCTACAGACTGTCAGCAGTGTAAATTTAACAAGAACACAATCATTTACTGACAGTACATCTGGGATACATCTCATCATGTTTAAATTTGTCTTGTAGTGATTAACCTTAATTTTACAGAAAGACATCAGACTTCTATACTGTAATAGGGAGTGGACAAAATATCCTTATAAAGGCTTACAACTTTATTGGTGTGGAGACTTTCACAGCCACCTATAATCTAGCCGTACCAGGTAAATCATACGATTGTATGAGTGTTAAAACAACAAAATTCATGATCTGATTTTCTTTGTATGCTTAAAAACAAGCATACCATCCCCATTCTAAAATAATTTGAACCGAAAGGTGATGTAATTAGTGCAATATCAAGAAGATTCAAGCATTGCACAGTTTTGATCCAAACAATCACTTTCTGGTTCTCAGCCATTCAAAACACTCCTTTGAACCATTGATGATTTAAAGCTCCACCCACTTTCCAAATCATGAAAATTATCCAATCGAAAATGTGTTAAATAACCATTATTTTAGAATGTAGGATATATTACAAATTATTTCAAAGTTTTAAACTTTCAGACTGTGATGACTTGTCTACAAGACCTTATGGAACTTACAGTATGATTGGCAGAAGTGGCTCGCTTTGTACCTGGTCTATCAAGCCCCAAAGCACTGCTTGTAAGTAGAGGATTAACCTATGACCTCTAGAGTATAAAGGTCATCAGCATCAAGGATTACATTCATTCATGGAAGTTTAGTAATACAGGCCATCAAACAGCTGTTCAAATTGTCCGAGGAGTTCAACGATAGTGATAATGAGTGATAATGTTAAAAAGAGTATTTTCAAAATGCTTCTGATTATGGATCAAGTGATGAATATTAATAGTTATGGTGGAAAGTGCTGTTGAATGAGTCTTCATTTTTGTTGGATTTCATAAGCTGTCTTTGTGCTAGGGTTGCTGGATTTCACCATGGGTCATGTGACACTGTGTCAAAACGACTCCCTTTCTCTGTACGAAGGATTGACAAAAGCCGTTACATCACCTATCATTACTCTGACTATGAAGAACCAGTTAACAGTGGTTCCTGTCATCTACTCCCAAAGTCAGAAGGGCTTCAGGTATGTTATTTCACTCTCAGTTCCAGGTACATCATTTTCTTCTCATAAACAAAATACTGACATTAGGCCCATAGCATACTGGGATGGAGGGCTTCCATGTTTGTCCTTTTTTTCTGTGAACTGATACTTTTAGCCCATCATCTGATGATATTGCAATGAAAGTGTTATATATTTCTAGGTTCAGCACGAGACCTACCAATATACCTAACATCACTGAGTCACGATAAAGAGAATCTGACATGATTTTCTATTCATGAGAAAATAAAACAAGTTTTAGAACTGTTCATTTCACAACATGTTTGGTAAAGTAAAATAAAACAAATTTGAAGAAATGTAAGAGATTCTGTTTATCACATGACTTAGATATTTTTATAAACATCTTATTTGATTAGACCGATCTGGATTGTTACTCATTTGAAATGACAAACAAAAATTATTTTATGGGTGTTACTACGCTGATAAGAGAGTAGTTATGTGATAAAACACATAGAGGATTCTGTATATTTCCCCCATGCTCCCTGATTGTATTCAAACAATAATTTTGTCATGATCTGTAGACATGGTACCATCTTAATTGGCCCATGAATCTTGTGTCAAAATTGATGTCTATATTCCATTGTGATGTGGTAGTGACACCTCCTTACATTTAGGACGCTTTAGGAGAGAATGTGTGAAGACATTTCTTACACAGAATCACACCTGTGCAGTGTGAGAGAAATGTCATATTTCACACTTTCACATCCTAGTGAACACTTTCTGCATAGACCATTTGATTATTTCACCGGGCAATATAACTCTGTATTCTTCATGTGTTAACTAATCTGAAGAAAATATTTATTATTAATCAACAGCACATATTCCAGAAACTCCAATAAAAATCACATATTTAATGATGTTTTGATGATGTGTATTTATAGATTGATCCTCAACAGTCCTAAGGGCAGCTGTAAGGGTAACACTACTGCTACTGTAACTGCCTCCTACCAGACTAGCATGGCCAGTAAGTCTATAATAACATGTGTCCATGTGACCCATGTACTGTAGGGTCTGTCCATCCATCCATCTGTCCATTCAAACATCCATCTGTCCATCCATCCATAGCACAAAGCTTGTGTGCAAGATATCTCATGAACCTCACAACAGATTTAGTTCATATTCACACAATCATATTATAGATTTATTTCATTGGCATTTCTCGGACAAAACCTACATATTTGATCAAATTATATAAATATTTATTGAAATCTTGGTTATCAAGTCTTATGTCAAGTTAAAGTTTTGGAAGATTTTGATGAACATTAAGGTATAGTCAATTTCACCTCAATGCTCCAACTGTAAGTGTTCCTAACTGCAAGGTCTGCACTATCTCACCTCAATACTCTAACTGTAAGTGTTACTAACTGCAAGGTCTGGACTATCTCACCTCAATACTCTAACTGTAAGTGTTACTAACTGCAAGGTCTGCACTATCTCACCTCAATACTCTAACTGTAAGTGTTACTAACTGCAAGGTCTGCACTATCTCACCTCAATACTCTAACTGTAAGTGTTACTAACTGCAAGGTCTGGACTATCTCACCTCAATGCTCCAACTGTAAGTGTTCCTAACTGCAAGGTCTGGACTATCTCACCTCAATACTCTAACTGTAAGTGTTACTAACTGCAAGGTCTGGACTATCTCACCTCAATACCCTAACTGTAAGTGTTACTAACTGCAAGGTCTGGACTATCTCACCTCAATGCTCCAACTGTAAGTGTTCCTAACTGCAAGGTCTGGACTATCTCACCTCAATACTCTAACTGTAAGTGTTACTAACTGCAAGGTCTGGACTATCTCACCTCAATGCTCCAACTGTAAGTGTTCCTAACTGCAAGGTCTGGACTATCTCACCTCAATACCCTAACTGTAAGTGTTACTAACTGCAAGGTCTGGACTATCTCACCTCAATGCTCCAACTGTAAGTGTTCCTAACTGCAAGGTCTGGACTATCTCACCTCAATACTCTAACTGTAAGTGTTACTAACTGCAAGGTCTGGACTATCTCACCTCAATGCTCCAACTGTAAGTGTTCCTAACTGCAAGGTCTGGACTATCTCACCTCAATACCCTAACTGTAAGTGTTACTAACTGCAAGGTCTGGACTATCTCACCTCAATGCTCCAACTGTAAGTGTTCCTAACTGCAAGGTCTGCACTATCTCACCTCAATACTCTAACTGTAAGTGTTACTAACTGCAAGGTCTGGACTATCTCACCTCAATGCTCCAACTGTAAGTGTTCCTAACTGCAAGGTCTGCACTATCTCACCTCAATACTCTAACTGTAAGTGTTACTAACTGCAAGGTCTGGACTATCTCACCTCAATGCTCCAACTGTAAGTGTTCCTAACTGCAAGGTCTGGACTATCTCACCTCAATACTCTAACTGTAAGTGTTACTAACTGCAAGGTCTGGACTATCTCACCTCAATGCTCCAACTGTAAGTGTTCCTAACTGCAAGGTCTGGACTATCTCACCTCAATACTCTAACTGTAAGTGTTACTAACTGCAAGGTCTGGACTATCTCACCTCAATACCCTAACTGTAAGTGTTACTAACTGCAAGGTCTGGACTATCTCACCTCAGTACTGTACATGCAACTTTCAGTGTTATTAATTTGATTGTGTTGTAGAATGTGGAGGTACCCTTGATTTCCCAGCTGGGAGTGTGAGCAGCCCACTGTTTCCAAACCAGTATCCCCTCAACGCTCGCTGTAAGTGGACCTTCATCCCCAACAAAAAACCATATATCCTGGTATCTGTTCAGAGTCTTAATCTGAACCCTAGACACAGTCTCAATGTGGATGATGGAAAGAAGAAAATGTCACTAGCTGGCTATACAGATGTAGACCTTTTGGTGCCTACCACCAACAAATCAAATCTGGTCCTCGACTTCAACAGTGTCAGTTCCAATACTTCAGGTGTGCTGACAACGGGACGTGGCTTCAAAATCACCTACACATATCTTGGTAAGTACACAGAAGTTTACTCTCGGTTTACTATCTACTACAAACTTACCAGAACACTGTTATCAGCTCACCAAGGGCTACCATAAATTTTCAAATGAATGATTTTTACCCACTCTTAGGGTCAAAGGAGTCAAATGGTTTGAGAATTTGGGTCATGGTATTCATACTTGAACTGGACATTCAAGTTTGCAGATTTTGGCTTTATAGACAGTCTTCTTTTTAAGGTGCAGAACTGGTAGTGATATAGGTCCATTAGAACTCATGTTGCCAAATCTCTTTGGAAAGATTTGTAATCATCTGAAGGGTTGTGGCCCTTTCTACAAAATTTCAATTTTCATGCTTTCTGAAGGGAGAGCATAAAGTTGCCACTTTGTCCATCTGTTGTCCGTCCACTGTTCATCCATCATAATTTTGTCCAGAGCATAACACAAAAATTATAAGAGGTATCAACATAAAATTTCATAGATAGATAGATATCAACAAGGAGAGGTTCAGGGCACCAGAGCCGTCACTTTCTTGTGCATAATTTAGGAGTAATTGCCTTTTGTTATTTTTCATACTTAAATTTTGTCCCATTCGAGGAGCATAACCAGTCTCTAATGGCCCATGTTTTTTCATTTATGATGACAGACTGTGGTGGAGAAATTACAGCCAACAGTAGTGGGAAAATTGATGTTGCCTCTCCTGCAGCTAACATCAGTCGTTTGTGTGTGTGGTTGATAAAAGCTCCCAACACAGACAAAACTAACAACTCAAACATCTTATCCCTGAATGTCTCAATCACTGGTAATACCACACAGTAAGTAACTAAAATCTCAATCACTGGTAATACCACACAGTGTAGCTCAATTGACTGCTTCTGTTTGTCATTGTTTGTGTTCATAACATCAACTTGACTGTCCAATTTCTTATCTAAACTTGCTTGTGGGATTTATCTTCATAGAGTGAAAATCAGAACTTCAAACAAAATCGAAATCTTCATATATTTGTCTGTTGTCTGTTAGTCAACTTTTTTGTACAAATCATTATAAGCCATGTACAACTGAGTGGATTTTCACTAAATTTTGTATGAAGCATCCTTAGGGGAAGGGAAACCAACACTGTGTAAATAGTGGGCAGCGGAGTGGTACCAATAGGGGAAATGAAGACAAAGCTTAAATATATTTCTTTTTTTAGTCATGATAAACATATTTTGACTAAATCATGCATTGGATGGGAGAATTCCATTTGGGATAAACCTAGGGTCTGACCCTATGGGGCAATGGCTGAGGTCAAACCTTTAAAATCCTTCCCTATTAGTATGGTTATATAACTCAGGTGAGCGATACAGGCCCTATGGGTACCTTGTTATAACTTTAATGAATTAAAAGTATTGCAATCAGTTAATTTGTATCTTAACATTGTTTCATGAAATGATGCCTCTTTAAATAATTTTCCCTGAGAATATTAAAAAATCAAGTCGTTAGACATATCATAATAATTGTGTATATTCACATACAAAGACTGGACATAGGGAACCGTTATTTACACTATCAGTAGTGAAGTGGTTACGATGATTAATCCTTGGTTAAGCATAGTAATGGTGATGTTTTTCAGGGACATTGTGACTATATTTGATGGAGCGACGCAGGATGCTGCAATCCTGCCGTTCAACATGACTAAGGGTCAGTCTCTGAAAATGTTGACACGAGGTCCCTATGTACTGATCCTGTACAGACATACCAGTAAGAAATCTCTGCTGGCGGACAACTCCACCTTCAAACTCCAAGTCAACTACACAACTTACAGTAGGTATTCTGTGTGATTGTTGAAGATTCAGAATCTACAGGGATAACAGACTTTTTTTTCAATGCTACACTATGTCTTGTCATTTTCAGAGTGTCCCTCCACACAGAAATGTCAGAATGGTAGATGTATCCATCCTGATTGGTATTGTAACGGAGTCAATGATTGTGGTGACAACACAGACGAGCTGAACTGTACTTATCCTATCCCTATAACATCAACTACACCAAAACCATCGACACCTGGCAAATCTACAGGGGGTATGTATACACTGGTTAATGTTGGTTGTCTAATAGATGAACTTAATAAGATAATCAAGTGTAGGAAGCTGGGGATAAGTTGGTTCTTGTTCATTCTTAAAACAGACCGGATTCATCCCAAAAACTTCGGGCTTCTTCAGGCTTTTCCCTATATCCCAATCACCATGTAAACTTGGTGGTATCAAAGTACAGGATATGAAGACCTACTGAACATCTACTAACGTAATGGCAGAGGCTGTATTTTCTAGGTTTTTATTGTATCCTAAAGATGTCATAACTGAGTACTATGAATGTAATGGCAGAGGTTGTATTTTCTAGGTTTTTATTGTATCCTATAGACGTAACTGAGTACTATGAATTGTCACTGTTAATTTGATACAATAGTTTCAGGTCTCAGTAGACCTCACTCATCATTCATTACAAATTACAGCCTGAGAAATACAGGTGCCCTAAAATAATCTGTCCTTCCGTCTACTACCAGCAGAGATCATCTCTCCGAATCCAGAAAGTCAATATTTCTGAGATTTGACATGGCAATAAACTGTGATGTAAAGATGACCAGTAGAAATTGAAAAAGTTCAAAAGGTCAAGATCACTGTAACTTAATATTGAATTGAGAATATACTTTCAAAATACCTCATATAAGGCTGTTACTGAAGGCCAATTTTTTAAAAAGATTTCAGCTGATGATACCCTGTGTTAGGTCAAGGTCAAGGTTGCTGTTACTGAAGACCAATTCTTTAGATTTCAGCTGATGATACACTGTGTTAGGTCAAGGTTGCTGTTACTGAAGGCCAATTCTTTAGATTTCAGCTGATGATACACTGTGTTAGGTCAAGGTCAAGGTTGCTGTTACTGAAGGCCAATTCTTTAAAGATTTCAGCTGATGATACACTGTGTTAGGTCAAGGTCACGGTTGCTTTTCAAAGTAGACCAGGTCAAACCTGTCAAAAATATGTTATACTGTGTTTTGTACAGTTTGAGAATGCAGCAGTATTACTGGGTTTTTAAAGTGAAAAGGTAGTTTTTCGAATGTACAATGTGAAACAACCTTACAGTGGACCCCGACACCGATAATACAGATACCTATTTAATAGAAACTCTTGATCCAGTCGCAAATGTGGGGAAACCGATTTTCATAACAATGTTTTACTCACCAGTCTGGAGCTTATGTCAGAGTACTGTTTTCCTATAGAAGACAAAATGTATTAATTGTAAAGAAAACATCATCATCTTGGTCTTCAAATGTCTAACAGTTAGTTTTGAAGTATTCAATATCAATAACTTGTAGAGAAACGTTACTGTTCCATATTTTGAATGATTTTAAATGCCGAGAGTAACCAGGTTATCAAGGGGTAAATAAATCAGTAATATAAACAATAATGAATCCTTGATTAAAACCGCAGAAATATAAAATGAAATTTAATTGCTAATTATAGGATCACCATCTGTCAATGCTTGTACAAACTTAACATGGTACAGATTTCCACTGTGTGAGTGAATCTCCTATATGTAGACTAAGTGTTCATCACTATAATGTCTTCTGCATATTAATGTGGTTGTTCCAAGGGGCTCACTTAATTATAAACATATTCATCAGGCAATTAGATTCAGGAAGATGACGAAATACATATATATATATATATATATACATAGGCAGTTTTATTCTATTCCAAGAACAAGGGAGATAACTTAGATTAAATTGGTTAACTTGCAAGTCTAGATATTTCATCATCTGCATGCTTTTGACAGCATATCAGCCATATTACCCACATCCCTGATAGTGTCCATATTACCCACATCCCTGATAGTGTCCATATTACCCACATCCCTGATAGTGTCCATATTACCAACATCCCTGATAGTGTCCATATTACCCACATTCCTGATAGTGTCCATATTACCCACATCCCTGATAGCATACAGTCCATATTACCCACATCCCTGATAGTATACAGTCCATATTACCCACATCCTTGATATTATACAGTCCATATTACCCACATCCCTGATAGTATACAGTCCATATTACCCACATCCCTGATAGTATACAGTTCATATTACCCACATCCCTGATAGCATACAGTCCATATTACCCACATCCCTGATAGCATATGGTCCATATTACCCACATCCCTGATAGTATACAGTCCATATTACCCACATCCCTGATAGTGTCCATATTACCCACATCCCTGATAGCATACAGTCCATATTACCCACATCCCTGATACCATACAGTCCATATTACCCACATCCCAGATAGTATACAGTTCATATTACCCACATCCCTGATAGTATACAGTCCATATTACCCACATCCCTGATAGCATACAGTCCATATTACCCACATCCCTGATAGCATACAGTCCATATTACCCACATCCCTGATAGTGTCCATATTACCCACATCCCTGATAGCATACAGTCCATAAAACCCACATCCCTGATAGTGTCCATATTACCCACATCCCTGATAGTGTCCATATTACCCACATCCCTGATAGTATACAGTCCATATTACTCACATCCCTGATGGTGTCCATATTACCCACATCCCTGATAGTGTCCATATTACCCACATCCCTGATAGTATACAGTCCATATTACCCACATCCCTGATAGCATACAGTCCATATTACCCACATCCCTGATAGCATACAGTCCATAAAACCCACATCCCTGATAGTATACAGTTCATATTACCCACATCCCTGATAGCATACAGTTCATATTACCCACATCCCTGATAGTGTCCATATTACCCACATCCCTGATAGTGTCCATATTACCAACATCCCTGATAGTGTCCATATTACCCACATTCCTGATAGTGTCCATATTACCCACATCCCTGATAGCATACAGGCCATATTTCCCACATCCCTGATAGTATACACTCCATATTACCCACATCCCTGATAGTGTCCATATTACATCCCTGATAGTGTCCATATTACCCACGTCCCTGATAGCATACAGGCCATATTACCCACATCCCTGATAGTGTCCATATTACCCACATCCCTGATAGTGTCCAGATTACCCACGTCCCTGATAGCATACAGGCCATATTGCCCACATCCCTGATAGTGTCCATATTACCCACATCCCTGATAGTGTCCATATTACCCACATCCCTGATAGTATACAGTCCATATTACCCACATCCCTGACAGTGTCCATATTACCCACATCCCTGATAGTATACAGTCCATATTACTCACATCCCTGATAGTGTCCATATTACCCACATCCCTGATAGCATACAGTCCATATTACTCACATCCCTGATAGTGTCCATATTACCCACATTCCTGATAGTATACAGTCCATATTACTCACATCCCTGATAGTGTCCATATTACCCACATCCCTGATAGTGTCCATATTACCCACATCCCTGATAGCATACAGGCCATATTTCCCACATCCCTGATAGTATACAGTCCATATTACCCACATCCCTGATAGTGTCCATATTACCCACATCCCTGATAGTGTTCAGATTACCCACATCCCAGATAGCATACAGGCCATGTTTCCCACATCCCTAATTTCAAGATGGTTCCTTTTGCTTTCTGTTGATAAAGGAGATTATACTGTCCCAGATATGGCAGACTATTTGTTGATTTGTCAGTATTATAGTTGAAGTTTGTCAATGTGATATGTAATGACACTATATATGTATATTTTTTTCTCTTACAGTGAAATCCTATGTGGTGGTCATCGTGGCTCTGGTTTGTCTTGTACTTGGAATTGTTCTGGCCATAGTAGTACCAGTCATGTACAAACGCATCAAATATCCCAACTACAGGCATCTCCAGGACCTTAGTGTGACCACGTAATACTTCAACACACAGATCTGACCCCTACGACTACAGACTTGACCTTTCATATCTAAGTTACTATAGCAACCACAGAGATCTGACCCGTACAACTGCAGACTTGACCTTTCATACTTAGGTTACTATAGCAACCACAGAGATCTGACCCCTACAATTCCACGCTTGACCTTTTATACCTAGGTTACTATAGCAACCACAGAGATCTGACCCCTACAACCACAGACTTGACCTTTCATACCTAGGTTACTATAGCAACCACAGAGATCTGACCTCTACAACTACAGACTTGACCTTTTATACCTAGGTTACTATAGCAACCACAGAGATCTGACCTCTACAACTACAGACTTGACCTTTTATACCTAGGTTACTATAGCAACCACAGAGATCTGACCTCTACAACTACAGACTTGACCTTTTATGCCTAGGTTACTATGGCAACCACAGAGATCTGACCTCTACAGCTGCTGATGTGATATTTCTATCTATTTTACTATTGCAACTATACCGATCTGACTCCTACAACTAATAACGTGACCTTTATATCTAGATTTAACCCTTATATTGTATACAAGCTTGATTTATGTGAGATGCTTATATTGTTTACTTGATTGAAGATCTGTTATCAGGTGTAAGCTTATCAGTCATGCCATGAAATTACTAATTTTACTTGAAAAATGTTGATAAACCTAATCTGCCTCAGAATATATGTGTGCCATATAAATGTAAGTTGATGGTATAAAAAGAGCAGGCCAGAGTGGTTTGTATATAAGTTAAGTACAGGCTCACTATTGATTGAGCAGTAACCAGATTTCATTGCTTTTGTGTCATCCTTCATCACCTCTTTTTTTGAAACAACTAATTTTAAGGAATGTTTTGATGAAAGGTCGTGATATTTTGGTATTTGCTTCCTAGAATGAAATAAAACCACAAAATGATGATCTTGACCCATATTCAAGGTCAACAGAGGTCAAATTTGTTTTAACAGTCTAAGGACTTCTGATAAAAACAATTGTTGACACTGATTGCTCCAAGGTTTGTGAAAAGAAATGACCTTGTCCTACATACAAGGTCTCAGAGTTTAAATGTGTGAAGCTGTTCAAGAGACTTTTAATTCTATTTATAGGAAAGGCTTAGAATCATAGTTTTTTACTTTAACCCACAGGGTCAAATTGTTAAACAATTCAAACTGCTTCAAAGTTGAATTGAATGGCCTTAATAGGAATGCTACAAAGTTTGTGTAAAAGTTAGATTTTTTAAACTCCAAAATATTTTCCTTGATGAACTAAAGCTATCCTATTGAGGTAGTGTCTTACTGTATTTGTCTTTGAAAAATAATATGACCTATATATTTATTCACGGATATTTTGGTTAAAGTTAATTACTTCATGTCACTTTTCCCTGATCAATAGCTGTTCAAAGAAATCTTCAAAATCCCAGAAATAAAAAAAAACTTTGATCTTGCTATTTTCAAGAAATGCAACAGTGTTAACATTCTTGGTGGTGAAGTTGGTTTTAATAAGTGTGATTTATTTGCCTATACAGGTCTGATATTGTGTAACTTTTCATTTAACATTTAAAAGTAGAGTAGGTGCTACAGGCCCATAGGGCCTCTTGCATATATGCATTATGTCTACAATATTGAATTTCAAACTCACATGTTATGATTTGTTTAAAACAGAGCAATTGGTATGTTGTATATAATGTTATATTTTTGTATTTTATATCGATATGTGAAATGTGCAGGTACTTGTTGAACAGCCGCAATGTGAAAATGATAGCACAGTTTTTATTTAATCTTTAACAACTCACATGATTCAAATTACTACTCAGATTGACAAAGATGGTAATGTTTTTGAAATGGGGCTTTGAATTTCTACTTCAGTCCAGACTATTTAGGAATTATTTCAACTAAAACATTTTAGACAAATTATCGGATGGCTGTAACAGTTTGTCTACAGAAACTTTGCATTTGACACAAAACGTTTTATAATTCTATATTTTCTGTATTTATCTACAGGGTAAGTGTTAACATTCCTCCTGAGAAGCATCCAGCACTAGTAGTGGACAGGTCACTGTATCTACAGTACAACACTAGTAGTGGACAGGTCACTGTATCTACAGTCCAACACTAGTAGTGGACAGGTCACTGTATCTACAGTCCAACACTAGTAGTGGACAGGTCACTGTATCTACAGTACAACACTAGTAGTGGACAGGTCACTGTATCTACAGTACAACACTAGTAGTGGACAGGTCACTGGATCTAAAGTACAACACTAGTAGTGGACAGGTCACTGTATCTACAGTACAACACTAGTAGTGGACAGGTCACTGTATCTACAGTCCTATACTAGTAGTGGACAGGTCACTGTATCTACAGTACAACACTAGTAGTGGACAGGTCACTGTATCTACAGTACAACACCAGTAGTGGACAGGTCACTGTATCTACAGTACAACACAATAGTGGACAGGTCACTGTATCTACAGTACAACACTAGTAGTGACCAGGTCACTGTATCTACAGTCCAACACTAGTAGTGGACAGGTCACTGGACCTGCAGTCCTACACTAGTAGTGGCTTTTGATATGGATTAAGATTGTTTGTTATTTTGTTGTGGAGCTGGTTTTACATTATGTTGTAATATAATAATGATATGTAATATATTATTATCAGAGTGATTGAACTTAACATGTAATCCTGATCTGCATTTTTCATCATTAGTTGTTATTTGTTATGAGATTGTTTTATTCTGATTATGTCTCAGATACATTTCAATGTCTTATTTTTTCATTATACTGACAAAAAGTTCATTAAATACATACATTGTATGTAGTAATTACCACTGATCTGGGTACACTCCTGTCACCACAGATCTGGGTACACTCGTGTCACCACAGATCTGGGTACACTCCTGTCACCACAGATCTGGGTACACTGGTGTCACCACAGATCTGGGTACACTCGTGTCACCACAGATCTGGGTACACTCCTGTCACCACAGATCTGGGTACACTGGTGTCACCACAGATCTGGGTACACTCGTGTCATCACAGATCTGGGTACTCTCCTGTCACCACAGATCTGGGTACACTGGTGTCACCACAGATCTGGGTACACTCGTTCCTCTGAAATGAGAGATTGTAAAAAGAAAAATGTCTGATGCAATCCCTTAGAGCAGGTCTTTTGTTGTGAATTTCATTTGATTTTGATTTTTTGTTTTTTAGTTTAACATCACTGGTTGAATTATTATACTTGATTTCACTTCTCTGTCGCTTACACTTTGTAATGAACCACCCACTATCAGAGAATATCCTCGATGTACATTGGAAGTATTTAGTTTGATTCAATTTCTTCTGCATTTTATTTTCATTATTTTGTGTTTTTGGTGATGGAGACATTGTTTATGATAAACAATAGTTACTTTATGTAATTGTAATACAGAAAACGGAAACATTGACAGGAGTCAGATAAGGTAGGTTTGTAAAGTGTAATTATAATAAAGAAAACGGAAACATTGACAGGAGTCAGATAAGGTAGGTTTGTAAAGTGTAATTATAATACAGAAAACGGAAACATTGACAGGAGTCAGATAAGGTAGGTTTGTAAAGTGTAATTATAATACAGAAAACGGAAACATTGACAGGAGTCAGATAAAGCAGGTTTGTAAAGTGTAATTATAATACAGAAAACGGAAACATTGACAGAAGTCAGATAAAGCAGGTTTGTTAAGTGTAATTATAAATGTTTAAGTATTCTCCACTTCAAATTTAGTGGATGAAATATTACATAATTGAAAATATTACAATAAAACCAATCAAAATGTCAGATCTTACACCAGAACACAAAATAGATACTGACATAGAACTTATATACTATATGTACCTGCCTACAGAAAATGTTTCACATTTATATTCAATATTTACCTGCCTACAGAAAATGTTTCACATTTTTTTTTATGCTTACCTGCCTAAAGAAAATGTTTCACATTTATATTCAATATTTACCTGCCTACAGAAAATGTTTCACATTTATATTCAATATTTACCTGCCTACAGAAAATGTTTCACATTTATATTTTATTCATACCTACCTACAGAAAATGTTTCACATTTTTATTCTATGCATACCTACCTACAGAAAATGTTTCACATTTTTATTCTATGCATACTTGCCTACAGAAAATGTTTCACGTTTATATTTTATGCATACCTACCTACAGAAAATGTTTCACATTTTTATTTTATGCATACCTGTCTACAGAAAATGTTTCACATTTTTATTTTATATTTACCTGCCCACAGAAAATGTTTCACATCACTCAAAATTACATTTCTGATCAAGGCAAAAAGAAATATATTTATACCTACAAATGAATGCTTTATTGATCTTAATATCAAACCTCACAGAGTTGTCGCCCGTTTTAATAACTTTCGAGTTATCTCCCCTCTTACATTTTTGGGTTTTTTTTGTGACATATTCTGCTTGCATTTGAATAAAGCTTAATATATCTATCAAAGCTTCTTTATTTGTAATTGAGAAAAAAAATACAGAAAAACCGTATTCTATCGTCCTAAGATGGGTCATGGTGGAGTTTTAGACCTTCATTCTGTGCTAAAAAGATGTCATGTTTGACTTTTAAGCCATCAATCCTGAACGTATTTTTTCTGGAATATGTCGTGTTGGAGTTGAGGCTTACAATACTGACTATGTTCCGTCCCAAAGATATGTCACGTTCGAATAACAGGTCCTTAGCCCCAACTGTGTTCCGTAATAAGGTATGTCATGTTGGAGTTTTAGGCCATTAACCCCGACTGTGTTCCATCTAAAGATATGTCATGTTGGAGTTTTAGGCCCTTAACCCTGACTTTGTTCAGGACTTTGAAATACTGACGTATGACGGAGGGATATTCACACTCAAACATGAGTGATATTGAGGAACGGACGCCGGACCCTGATGTACTGACGTATGACGGAGAGATATGGACCCTCAAACACGAGTGATAGTGAGGAACGGACGCCGGACCCTGATGTACTGACGTATGACGGAGGGATATTGACAATCAAACACGAGTGATAGAGAGGGACGGACGCCGGACCCTGATGTACTGACGTATGACGGAGGGATATGGACCCTCAAACACGAGTGATAGTGAGGAACGGACGCCGGACCCTGATGTACTGACGTATGACGGAGGGATATTGACAATCAAACACGAGTGTTAGTGAGGAACGGACGCCGGACCCTGATGTACTGACTTTTGACGGATTGATATGGACCCTCAAACACGAGTGATAGTGAGGGACGGACGCCGGACCCTGACATACTGACGTATGACGTTTTATACACAAGCTGGACGGCTGACGTAGTTGAATTTTACTTAGTGTTACGTGTGTACGGTCCCGGGAGGTACCATCTGTTAGATGCCGCGCGTGCGGAGCTGTACATGCCGAAGGGGCTTTGTTGTGACACTTTAGATTACAAATATCCTGAAGGCTGATGTCATGTTATTCTCGTTATGAATTACGTATACGGAGATAACATATTGATAGGTATAAACAAGGGTTCTCGGACAAGAATACCAGTATACACAGAGAAAGTGGCACACTTGTTGTTGACGAGCCTTGCGTTACATCTATTATTTAGTATACACAGAGAAAGTGGCACACTTGTTGTTGACGAGCCTTGCGTTACATCTATTATTTAGTATACACAGAGAAAGTGGCACACTTGTTGTTGACGAGCCTTGCGTTACATCTATTATTTAGTATACACAGAGAAAGTGGCACACTTGTTGACGAGCCTTGCGTTACATCTATTATTAAGTATACACAGAGAAAGTGGCACACTTGTTGTTGACGAGCCTTGCGTTACATCTATTATTTAGTATACACAGAGAAAGTGGCACACTTGTTGTTGACGAGCCTTGCGTTACATCTATTATTAAGTATACACAGAGAAAGTGGCACACTTGTTGACGAGCCTTGCGTTACATCTATTATTAAGTATACACAGAGAAAGTGGCACACTTGTTGTTGACGAGCCTTGCGTTACATCTATTATTAAGTATACACAGAGAAAGTGGCACACTTGTTGACGAGCCTTGCGTTACATCTATTATTAAGTATACACAGAGAAAGTGGCACACTTGTTGACGAGCCTTGCGTTACATCTATTATTAAGTATACACAGAGAAAGTGGCACACTTGTTGTTGACGAGCCTTGCGTTACATCTATTATTTAGTATACACAGAGAAAGTGGCACACTTGTTGTTGTCGAGCCTTGCGTTACATCTATTATTTAGTATACACAGAGAAAGTGGCACACTTGTTGTTGACGAGCCTTGCGTTACATCTATTATTTAGTATACACAGAGAAAGTGGCACACTTGTTGTTGACGAGCCTTGCGTTACATCTATTATTTAGTATACACAGAGAAAGTGGCACACTTGTTGACGAGCCTTGCGTTACATCTATTATTAAGTATACACAGAGAAAGTGGCACACTTGTTGACGAGCCTTGCGTTACATCTATTATTAAGTATACACAGAGAAAGTGGCACACTTGTTGTTGACGAGCCTTGCGTTACATCTATTATTAAGTATACACAGAGAAAGTGGCACACTTGTTGTTGACGAGCCTTGCGTTACATCTATTATTTAGTATACACAGAGAAAGTGGCACACTTGTTGTTGACGAGCCTTGCGTTACATCTATTATTAAGTATACACAGAGAAAGTGGCACACTTGTTGTTGACGAGCCTTGCGTTACATCTATTATTTAGTATACACAGAGAAAGTGGCACACTTGTTGTTGACGAGCCTTGCGTTACATCTATTATTTAGTATACACAGAGAAAGTGGCACACTTGTTGTTGACGAGCCTTGCGTTACATCTATTATTAAGTATACACAGAGAAAGTGGCACACTTGTTGTTGACGAGCCTTGCGTTACATCTATTATTTAGTATACACAGAGAAAGTGGCACACTTGTTGACGAGCCTTGCGTTACATCTATTATTAAGTATACACAGAGAAAGTGGCACACTTGTTGACGAGCCTTGCGTTACATCTATTATTAAGTATACACAGAGAAAGTGGCACACTTGTACACAGAGAAAGTGGCACACTTGTTGTTGACGAGCCTTGCGTTACATCTATTATTAAGTATACACAGAGAAAGTGGCACACTTGTTGTTGACGAGCCTTGCGTTACATCTATTATTAAGTATACACAGAGAAAGTGGCACACTTGTTGTTGACGAGCCTTGCGTTACATCTATTATTTAGTATACACAGAGAAAGTGGCACACTTGTTGTTGACGAGCCTTGCGTTACATCTATTATTAAGTATACACAGAGAAAGTGGCACACTTGTTGTTGACGAGCCTTGCGTTACATCTATTATTTAGTATACACAGAGAAAGTGGCACACTTGTTGTTGACGAGCCTTGCGTTACATCTATTATTTAGTATACACAGAGAAAGTGACACACTTGTTGTTGACGAGCCTTGCGTTACATCTATTATTTAGTATACACAGAGAAAGTGGCACACTTGTTGTTGACGAGCCTTGCGTTACATCTATTATTAAGTATACACAGAGAAAGTGGCACACGTGTTGACGAGCCTTGCGTTACATCTATTATTAAGTATACACAGAGAAAGTGGCACACTTGTTGTTGACGAGCCTTGCGTTACATCTATTATTTAGTATACACAGAGAAAGTGGCACACTTGTTGTTGACGAGCCTTGCGTTACATCTATTATTTAGTATACACAGAGAAAGTGGCACACTTGCTGTTGACGAGCCTTGCGTTACATCTATTATTAAGTATACACAGAGAAAGTGGCACACTTGTTGACGAGCCTTGCGTTACATCTATTATTAAGTATACACAGAGAAAGTGGCACACTTGTTGACGAGCCTTGCGTTACATCTATTATTAAGTATACACAGAGAAAGTGGCACACGTGTTGACGAGCCTTGCGTTACATCTATTATTAAGTATACACAGAGAAAGTGGCACACTTGTTGTTGACGAGCCTTGCGTTACATCTATTATTTAGTATACACAGAGAAAGTGGCACACTTGTTGTTGACGAGCCTTGCGTTACATCTATTATTAAGTATACACAGAGAAAGTGGCACACTTGTTGTTGACGAGCCTTGCGTTACATCTATTATTTAGTATACACAGAAAGAAAGCCTTGCGTTACATCTATTGGCACACTTGTTGTTGACGAGCCTTGCGTTACATCTATTATTTAGTATACACAGAGAAAGTGGCACACTTGTTGTTGACGAGCCTTGCGTTACATCTATTATTAAGTATACACAGAGAAAGTGGCACACGTGTTGACGAGCCTTGCGTTACATCTATTATTAAGTATACACAGAGAAAGTGGCACACTTGTTGTTGTCGAGCCTTGCGTTACATCTATTATTTAGTATACACAGAGAAAGTGGCACACTTGTTGTTGACGAGCCTTGCGTTACATCTATTATTTAGTATACACAGAGAAAGTGGCACACTTGTTGTTGACGAGCCTTGCGTTACATCTATTATTAAGTATACACAGAGAAAGTGGCACACTTGCTGTTGACGAGCCTTGCGTTACATCTATTATTAAGTATACACAGAGAAAGTGGCACACTTGTTGTTGACGAGCCTTGCGTTACATCTATTATTTAGTATACACAGAGAAAGTGGCACACTTGTTGTTGACGAGCCTTGCGTTACATCTATTATTTAGTATACACAGAGAAAGTGGCACACTTGTTGTATACACAGAGAAAGTGGCACACTTGTTGTTGACGAGCCTTGCGTTACATCTATTATTTAGTATACACAGAGAAAGTGGCACACTTGTTGTTGACGAGCCTTGCGTTACATCTATTATTTAGTATACACAGAGAAAGTGGCACACTTGTTGTTGACGAGCCTTGCGTTACATCTATTATTTAGTATACACAGAGAAAGTGGCACACTTGTTGTTGACGAGCCTTGCGTTACATCTATTATTAAGTATACACAGAGAAAGTGGCACACTTGTTGTTGACGAGCCTTGCGTTACATCTATTATTTCATTTCGATATTCGGTTTGTACAGTTCATTACAAATTATGTAAGTTTCCGATCTGATCGGAAAAACAAAATGGTCGGCTTGTGGCTATCTTGGTTTTTTCTGTAATACATGGACCATTGTTATGCTATTTTCAAATAAATGATTTATTTGAAATAGCTAATAAATAAATTTCTCATCACTACATTAAAAGTGAAGGCCTGTTGTTAAATAGCTAATGACTGGCTTACGACATTGGTTATCAGGTTCTCTCCAAACATCTATCTCCTGAATAATGTGACAACACAGTGAATACTGGATAGGTTTAAGGTCCTTTATACTTCCTATCTATGTATATTCAAATTTTCGAGGATTGGCTGCTCGAAAAAAAATGTCGACAGGCTAAAGATTATCTAACTGTTTCTCAAAATGTGCTGTGTAGATATTTC